CACTCACTCCACTCACTCCACTCACGCCACTCACTCCACTCACTCCACTCACTCCACTCACTCCACTCACTCCACTCACCCCACTGCACTCCACTCACGCCAGTCATGCCACTCACTCCACTCACTCCACTCACTCCACTCACTCCACTCACTCCACTCACTCCACTCACTCCACTCACTCCACTCACTCCACTCTCTCAACTCACTCCACTCACTCCACTCACTCCACTCACTCCACTCACTCCACTCACTCCACTCACTCCACTCACTCCACTCACTCCACTCACTCCACTCACTCCACTCACTCCACTCACTCCACTCACTCCACTCACTCCACTCACTCCACTCACTCCACTGACTCCACTCACTCCACTCACTCCACTCACTCCACTCACTCCACTCACTCCACGCACTCCACTCACTCCACTCACTCCACTCACTCCACTCACTCCACTCACTCCACTCACTCCACTCACTCCACTCACTCCACTCACTCCACTCACTCCACTCACTCCACTCACTCCACTCACTCCACTCACTCCACTCACCCCACTCACCCCACTCACCCCACTCACCCCACTCACCCCACTCACTCCACTCACTCCACTCACTCCACTCACTCCACTCACTCCACTCACTCCACTCACTCCACTCACTCCACTCACTCCACTCACTCCACTCACTCCACTCACTCCACTCACTCCACTCACTCCACTCACTCCACTCACTCCACTCACTCCGCTCACTCCACTCACTTCCACTCACTTCCACTCACTCCACTCACTTCCACTCACTCCCACTCACTCCACGCACTCCACTCACTCCACTCACTCCACTCACTCCACTCACTCCACTCACTCCACTCACTCCACTCACTCCACTCACTCCACTCACTCCACTCACTCCACTCACTCCACTCACTCCACTCACTCCACTCACTCCACTCACTCCACTCACTCCACTCACTCCACTCACTCCACTCACTCCACTCACTCCACTCACTCCACTCACCTCCACTCACTCCACCACTCACATCCACTCACTCACTCCACTCACTCACTCCACTCACTCCACTCACTCCACTCACTCCACTCACTCCACTCACTCCACTCACTCCACTCACTCCACTCACTCCACTCACTCCACTCACTCCACTCACTCCACTCACTCCACTCACTCCACTCACTCCACTCACTCCACTCACTCACTCCACTCACTCCACTCACTCCACTCACTCCACTCACTCCACTCACTCCACTCACTCCACTCACTCCACTCACTCCACTCACTCCACTCACTCCACTCACTCCACTCACTCCACTCACTCCACTCACTCCACTCCACTCCACTCCACTCCACTCACTCCACTCACTCCACTCACTCCACTCACTCCACTCACTCCACTCACTCCACTCACTCACTCCACTCACTCCACTCCACTCACTCACTCCACTCACTCCACTCACTCCACTCACTCCACTCACTCCACTCACTCCACTCACTCCACTCACTCCACTCACTCCACTCACTCCACTCACTCCACTCACTCCACTCACTCCACTCACTCTCACTCCACTCCACTCACTCCACTCACTCCACTCACTCCACTCCACTCCACTCACTCCACTCACTCTCACTCCACTCCACTCACTCCACTCCACTCACTCCACTCCACTCCACTCCACTCCACTCACTCCACTCACTCCACTCACTCCACTCACTCCACTCACTCCACTCACTCCACTCACTCCACTCACTCCACTCACTCCACTCACTCCACTCACTCCACTCACTCCACTCACTCACTCCACTCACTCCACTCACTCCACTCACTCCACTCACTCCACTCACTCCACTCACTCCACTCACTCCACTCACTCCACTCACTCCACTCACTCCACTCACTCCACTCACTCCACTCACTCCACTCACTCCACTCACTCCACTCACTCCACTCACTCCACTCACTCCACTCACTCCACTCACTCCACTCACTCCACTCACTCCACTCACTCCACTCACTCCACTCACTCCACTCACTCCACTCACTCCACTCACTCCACTCACTCACTCCACTCACTCACTCACTCACTCACTCACTCACTCACTCACTCACTCACTCCACTCACTCACTCACTCCACTCACTCCACTCACTCCACTCACTCACTCACTCACTCACTCACTCACTCACTCACTCACTCACTCACTCACTCACTCACTCACTCACTCACTCACTCACTCACTCACTCACTCACTCACTCACTCACTCACTCACTCACTCACTCACTCACTCACTCACTCACTCACTCACTCACTCACTCACTCACTCACTCACTCACTCACTCACTCACTCACTCACTCACTCACTCACTCACTCACTCACTCACTCACTCACTCACTCACTCACTCACTCACTCACTCACTCACTCACTCACTCACTCACTCACTCACTCACTCACTCACTCACTCACTCACTCACTCACTCACTCACTCACTCACTCACTCACTCACTCACTCACTCACTCACTCACTCACTCACTCACTCACTCACTCACTCACTCACTCACTCACTCACTCACTCACTCACTCACTCACTCACTCACTCACTCACTCACTCACTCACTCACTCACTCACTCACTCACTCACTCACTCACTCTTAATATGTCTATATCTATATGTCTTTTTTTTCTCTCTCTCTCTCTCTCTGTCGATATCTATCTATCTCTATACATACATATATATATACCAATATATATCTATCTTTATATTTATTTAAACATATAAATACATATATATATATATGGTACGCCCCCCCCCCCACCTGGAGCCTAGGTTTTGCGCTTGATTTCGGGTAATTCTGCATTTTTTGGCCAAACTTGGGCACCAAGGAAGGGGGGTGTGCGACAACTCTACAATTAAGAATTCTGGACCAAGATTGCTGGGAGACGTTCAATGTGACAATCTGGAATTCAAGATTCAAGACGTCAAAACAATCTTTTCTGGAATTCTGGAATATTGAACCTTGCGTCCCATATTAAAAAAAGAAAATAGAATAAGAAATCTGGGATTCAAGATTCAAGATTCCCAGAAAATATTATTTTGAAATCTTGAATCTTGAATCTCATTTTTTACATCTGGGATTCAAGATTCAAGATTCAAGATTTCAAAATAGTCTTTTTCTGGGAATCTTGAATCCTGAATCTTGAATCCCAGAGTATTTTTTTTAAAAAAATTCCAGGTTTGACTCAATACTCTCGGTGTTCAATAAGATTCTCGGAAAAGCTCAGTGGTAAAATACGTTCGAAGTTTTAGAACAACTTGATCATTTTTAGGGTTTGACCAGGATGGATGATTCTCAGGAAAGTTGTTGTTTGTGCAATCCTCGAGATTCAAGCCTCAATACAGTGGTAAGGCACTTTCAAGTGTGAGAATAACTTGAATGTTGTTTGGGTTTGGCCATCTCAGGAAAGTGTTCTGTGTAATCTTCAATCTTGATTTTTCCATCCAGTGGTAGAATACTTTCAAGTGCTTAGCGATCCAGTGGAAACACTTTCAAGGTACTAGTTAGACAAACTTTCAAGTGCTTTTGGTGAGCGGTTTGCTTCATGTTAGCTATGAAGCAGGGTATAATGCTAAACAACACGTATTTTACAGTGTTTTATGAAGAGGCGCAGGATCATTAGGGGTACTATATATGTGTGTATGTATGTATATATATACATATATATATATACACATGTATGTATGTTCACACACCGTTACCCCCCCTCTTGAACTACCTCTCCACATTTGCTCATCTTCTGCCTCCGCCTTTTGAGATAGAAGGCACTTTGTTGTCCTCTGCAAATAGAACTTGAATTACAACTGATTCAGCTGGAATCCCTGTTTCGAAATAGTTTTAGAACTTGAACCGCGCTTCACTTGAGTTTTTTTGGAACACCGTCTAACAAGTTTAATTTCGGACCTTTGTTACGCTGCAAAAGGGCCAGGACATAGATAACACAGATCGTATTTCGAATTTCCTTGTAGAAGTTCCTTAAATGTTCAGCCATATTTAATACGAACTAAATTTGAGAAGTAGTCTCTATTTAATTGTTGTTATGAAAAGCTAATTGAGTTTTGTTCGTACTAGATTATATCTAACACTTAGATTATATTTGGGAATAAACTCCTAACTTCTTTTGTTGAAGATTGGTTGGAGTTTGCCCGAAACTATACTTATATTCTCATGTAGCTCCTATTTGGAAAGGATTTGCTTATATAAGCCGTAGATGAGCAATGTTGAGCATAAACACATCTTTGGAAAGGGTATCATATTGGGACATTTCGGATCTTGCCAGGATGGACTGCAAGCCTATTCGTCTGCGCTTAAACTCTATTGCAAAAATATAACCTCTACAGCCTGCGCGCTGAAATCAAGCAAAACCTAGGCACCAGATACATATACAAATCTATATATCACATGCATATGTACATGCGAAGCTTCCTCCTCGTCGCGCCTGTTCCGCCTTGCTCCAGGCTGCTGCGCTTGGCGCGGCAGCTGCCGCCGGGCTTCGCGCTGCGGTCCATGCTGGAGCCGCTGCTTCAGGAGCTCATGGAGCACGTCTTCTGCCGCACCGGCCACGGGTTGCCAAGTGGCTGTGGCTCAAAATTAAGCAGCTACGGTTACAGGGTTTAGTCTTTGGTTCCATGTACCAAGATTCTATTTTGGTACCTTTTTTTGAGGTTGTCAAAACTGTTTTGGGATTTCATGTTGGTTGATTTTCGGTGCACCATCCATTTTGGATCCTATTTTAGTGGGGATTGCGATGGGATGTTTACTGGGGGTACGGGCTTTTGACCCATGGCCATTTGGGCGCGGTTCAAAATGAAAGAGCCATGGCTACGCAGGGTTTTGGTTCTTGGTTCCATTTGCCGAGGTGCCATTTTGGTACATGAATTTGAGCCGAAGCCATTTGAGGCTTGATCAACATTCCATTTAGGGCCCCTAGTTCTGACCATGGGTAGCTTTTCCCATGTGGAAAGTATAATCGTTTTAGTGGTTTTCCAGCCAATGGTCATCCTACGTCTTTCGGACCTTTGATCAACCCCCATTTGTCCGAAGAGGATCAGTTTTGTCTTGCTGGTGCGATAGGCAGGGAATGAGACATAGTGGTTTCCTTTAGGGGATTTTCCAGGTTCACGACTGAGAATCCTTCCCCACCCGACAGGGGCAATGCTTCTACACCACGCCCCCGCCCAGAATCCCGCGAGAGCAGCTCGCCAGTGGATCCCGCCGAGTTTCCCCACAGAGCGCCTTGCCAGTGGATCCCGCCGAGTATCCCGCCCGAGCTGCTCGATCCCGCCGAGTATCCCGCCAGAGCTGCTCGGCAGTGGATCCTGCTGAGTATCCCGCCAGAGCGGCTCGCCAGTGGATCCCGCAGAGTATCCCGCCAGAGCGGCTCGCCAGTGGATCCTGCCAAGTATCTTGCCAGAGCGGCTCGCCAGTGGATCCCGCCGAGTGTCCCGCCCGAGCTGCTCGGTGGATCCCGCCGAGCATATCGCCAGCTGGATCCCGCCGAGTATCCCGCCAGAGCGGCTCGCCAGTGGATCCCCGCCAGAGCGGCTTGCCAGTGGATCCCGCCGAGTATCCCGCTGAGCACCCCTTGCCGGTGGATCCTGCCGAGTATCCGGCCAGTATCCCGCCAGTCTGGTTTGCTCAATGTCCGAAACGGCCGATGGTAAGGGGATTGCTCGAAGCGAAGTATTTTTTCCTACCCGACAGGAAGGGGTTGTTAGATTTTATGTTGGAATCCGCGTTTGCGATGCTTCTACACCACGCCCCCACCCAGTATCTCGCCAAACCAGCTTGCCAGTGGATCCCGCCAAGTATCCCGCCAGAGCAGCTCGCCAGCGGAGCCCGCTGAGTATTACGCCAGAACTGCTCGCCAGTGGATCGCGCCCAGTATCTCGCCGGAGCTGCTCGCCAGTGGATCAGAGCGGCTCCAGTAGATCCGGCCGAGTATCCCGCCAGAGGAGTATCCCGCCAGAGCGGCTTTGTAGTGGATCCCGCCAAGCATTCCGCCAGCCAGTGCCACCAGAGCAGCAAGGCAAGAGTGGACGCCGAGTATCCCGCCAGAGTAGCTCGCCAGTGGATCCCGCCGAGTATTTCATCAAACCGGCCCGCCAGTGGAAGCTGTTGAGTATCTTTTGTCGGTGGATCCTGCCGAGTATCGGCTCGGAGCGGCTCGCCATTTTTCGCCAGTGGATCCAGCTTGCCAGTCTGAGAAGGGGGGTGGGGGTTGCTCGAAGCGAAGTATTTTTTAACTAAAAACAAAATATGGAACCTGACGTTGGGAAATGGTTCCTTTCAAAGGAACCCCCCAAACGTGAGGTTCCATGTTAGCTGGCGGGGGAAGTTCCTGTGAGGAAGCCGTTTTCTGTGCTTCGGTTTTCCGAATTCATGTCGACGTTCTCTCATTTTTTGAAGAAGTACGTCTGTTGGGTGGTGTGTCAACCCAAACCTTAATTCGAGTGGCTTGAAACGAGTGGCCTGAAACGCCAAGTTTGCATTTCCTGGATATCTTCCACGCTGGTTTGGAACGGGCCTTCCGTTCACGGAAACCGCTGGCTCATGGCTCGGAGTCTGAGTTCTGAGGGTCGACTTTGGTTCAACGTGCCAGGTGAATGGCCCCGAACCTTGGCCTCTCTTCAGGAGTGCCTCACATGTCTAGCTGCTCGATCCAAGACATCTCCAGGTTGCAGACGTTGTGTCTGCAAGAGAACACGACCTTGCCCATTAGCTTAGTGCTTCGCGAGTTGTAAGATTGCGCACGCCGCCGGAGGATCTGAAAGAGTCAGAAGTCCAGCCAGAGCGCTTAGGCGTGGGTTGATTGTAGCGATGATGCATTGAATCTAAAGTCAATCCTGGACCCTCCAGGCCAACTGACAACCTTTGCCCAGATGATAGCTGGCTATCGAGCCGGGAGCCCAAACCAATCTCACAGTGCAAGATCACAAGCAACCTTTGGGCTGTTCTCTGGTCATCGCAAGCCCAAGTTAGCATTGGTCATACTACTGTTTCTGACGAAACGGTGCTGGAAGGGACAAAGACATTGATGCCCAAGTTATCATTGGTCATACTACTGTTAACGCGTTAGGGCAACCAAAACAAGGACACTCCACATTTTCCAGTATTGCCGCTACAATTTTGGAGGGGGACTTCCCTGAAAGGATTTCATGAATCCCAGTCTTTGGTCTCGTGCTGCCAGTTTCTTTGACCGTGCGGCCCGGTTTTGCCTCCGGTCTCCGGCTGGGTTCGCTGGCTCGACTTGCTTGAGGCAGGCCTGGAAGAGACACGGGAGGCCAAGCTGAAGGCGGAGGCCAAGGAGCAGAGCGCGCCGGGGCCGAAGCTCGCTCCAGCCGCGCGGGGTGTGGGCGTTGCGGCTTTGAGTGGGAAACTCTCTGGAAACCGGCACTGGGGTTTCTTGGACGGATTTGTTGAACCCCGTTTTTTGAAGCATTACAAGCAAAGCATGAAGCTTGTTGGGCTGCACAAACACAGTGGCAACATCCGCAGCCGTGGGAGCATCAGAATTTCTTTCCGATTGAGCTCCGCTTCCATGACCAGTTGGGAGGATTTCATATCCCAAGCTGAGCAGTCGACACCACCTCCAGATATTCGTGATAGGGTGGTGAAAGTATTCAAAGATACTTTCAACGCCGCTGCCAAAGCCAGGCGGAGGCGGGTGCAAGTGGCGCAGACTGACCAGCGTGGCCAAAGCGTTGGCAGCGGCCATGGCGCCGATGAAGGCAACTGACGCCCAAGGCCTGCTACGCAAAGCCCACCTGGATGGGCTGCCCTTTTACTTACAGCCTGATCAGGCCCTGTTTGGCAAGCTCACACTGACGAAGCTTGGAAGAATGGCAGAAATTTATTTCGTTTCGTGCAAAGGATGCCCTGCCTCTCTGGGTGCCCAGCGACAATGTTGGTGGAAAGTTTTTTCGCTCACGTCTCCAATTGGGAGCCTGGGTGATCTGACTCGTTCGTGCTCTGAAAAGCGCAACCTCGAAACCGAGATTCTTCCGGTCTGTGCCGCAGTGGACAGCAGGTTTTTGGAGGTGGGCTGTGGCGGCCGTTGCGGCTCAGCAGATCACTTTGCCGCAAGTCTTGGCTCACCAGGATGTAGTGCTGCAGATCTGTGAACAGGAGCGGTTGAGGTCACGCCCTCCCTACGCGGGCTTTCTGTATGATGAGATGGCAAGAAAGCAGTGGTCCCGTAGAGCAGAGAAGAAGGACCCTTCCTTTGACATGGGGTCTGAGGTCCAAAAGTTGGACAAAGAGAGCTCGAGGAAATTGTCACGCAGAGGTTGGGCACAGTGCTGCGCTTGGCAGCTGTGGAAGAGCCTGGCAGCGCGGCTGCAAGGTCCGAAGAGAGCCAGTTGTCGCGACAGCTGGCCGCCGCACGCAAAAGAAGGCCGACGCAGTCACCAAAAGCTTGGCCAGCGCGCAGAAGAGGTGCTGGCCAAAGCTCTCTGCAGCTACTGCAGGCCTCAGTGCGAATCGGCCAGCGGCCATTCTGGGCAGGCAGCTGTCAAGAAAGCAGCAGCGCAAGGAGGAGTGGGCCCAGAGGCAGCAAGTTCGCAGGTCAGATCAAGACAAGCGGAAACAGGAGCTTGGTCATAACTCCCCTTTTCTGCACATGTTGGCAGATGGAGTTTTGTGCTGGCAAGGTCCCAGGGTGAAGCTCAGAGGGCTAGTGTGGTTGCATGGAAAGCTTCAGTTTCGGACGCACCTAGCGCAAACATACCCAGCTTGAAGTTTGCCAGTCTGGTGTGCGATTCCCTACGTTTTTGTCGGTCGCACAACAAGTCTCCTGACTGGCAGCCCGCAGCGATGCTGCAAGCTGAGGCTGACACTGTGGCAAACTGTTGCGGTAGTTGGAGGCTTGTGGCCACTTAGTTTAGGCGCGGAAAGGGGATTGAGTTCGTTGGAACACGTGGCTTTCTCACTGCAGGCTGGACACCCGTCTGAAGACATGCCCGAGGTGTTGCAAAGCGCCATTGACTTTGAGTGTGAGCTTGAAGCGGCAGAAGTCGACGCCTCCCGGCTGGCACTTTTCAAGCGCTGTTTGAAGCTGTCCGTACGCAGACTGGGTGAAGGATGCGCCAGCAGAGTTGCGGGCTCACGCATCCGCAATTAACGGGCCGCTCTGGAAAATTTTGCTGGCAGTGCAATTTTGACCACGACCGGTTCTTGCATGACCTCCAGGTCGGTTTTCCGCTGCTTGGGGCCTTGCCTCCCTGCGAAGGTGAAAGTGCTGCGTGCCGTTTTGAACAGCCTTTCACCGTTAAAGACTTGGTAGCGTCTCGGCAAGCGCGGTTTCCGAGTTGCCTTTCTCGCCCGACATATTGCCGCAAGCAATTGAGGACGCTGAGAAAGGTTTTATGTTTGTTCCCGCGGATGCCCGACATGTGTCTCTGACACGGAGAATACCGGTCAGAGAGGAACCCTCCGGGGGGTGGCGCGCAAGGGTGGTTGACCATGAAACTGAAAGCATGGTAAACGCAGCCACGGTTCCTTGTGATGAGACCCAACATGACACGTTGGACGACCTTTCAGAAATTGTTTTGAGCTTCTTTCAACGGAAGATCCAAGTACGGCTTTGGAAGCGAGATATTTCCAAGGCTTTCCGCCGTACCCCTGTCAGGGTAGAGCATTATAGCTTCGCGTGGACTGTTTGGATGCATGACGGATGCCTCCTGGCACGGTGTCTGCAGCGTACGCGTGGCACCGTGTTGCTTCATGTTGTGCCGCATTTTGCGCGCCCTGTTCATGTGCCCGTCAGCCCGGTACGTGGACGACTTTTTCGGAGTGTCGCGCGCAAGTGTCCAGTGGAACGCAGGGCGCATTCTCACTGTGATTTCGAGCGTGCTCGGCTTTCCGGTGGACGACGACAAGTCGGCTGAGAGCGACATTCGCTTGATCGTATTGGGCGCGGTGTGGGAAATTGGCCCCGCCGTGAACTGCGCACCTGCGTTGAGAATTGTCCAAGGCGGTCAAGTATAGCGCTCAGCTTATAAATGTCGTAAGTCAAGGTTGTCTGGCCCCGGGAGATGCGTCAAAACTGGCGGGTCGTCTCTCGTTTGCGGTCACGGTGTCGGGCAATCGAGTAGGTAGAGCCTTCATAAAGCCTTTCTATGCGCAGTCGCACAGGCCCCCCCTTTCCTTTGGCGCGCGTCTGAATGGTTCTTGAAGTGCCTTCCGTGCGTCTGCACACCCCTGCAACGCGTCCACGTGTAGTGTCATGGACCGATGCGTCTGGTGAGTCACGGTGGGTTGCTGCAGTACTTCCAGAGAACTTTCTTTTGGACGCGGGTCCGCACATCTGATGATGTGTGGCGGATGCTTGTTCCGAGGCGGGATCACCAAATTGGCTTCCAGGAATTTTTGGCTGTGCTTTTGGCTTGGGCAACTTTTTCCAATTGTTTGCAAGGAAGTCTTTGGCGGTCTTTCGTTGAGAATGACTCCGTTCTGCATGCCGTTACGAACGGCAGTGGGGGCAAAACGGACACATCCTTGTGTATTGGGCGGCTCTGGCTGGAATTGGCTGCAGCAGGGGTTGGTCTCCACATGGGACGTGCTGAGAGTGCGGCAAACGTCGCAGATGGTCCCACAAGAGATCGCTTCAATCTGTTGGCCTTATTGAAAGCCACTTGGGTTCCCCCAAGGCTCCCGCCCTGGCTGCGCACACTTTGGGGCATTTCTGACACGGTGTGACAACGAAGTGTTCAGGCATTGCCAGCTGTGCGGTGGGCGTGGCGCATTAAGCGCACGAGCCTTGAACTGCCTTGCTTTTCTCAGTTTTGCATCGCTGCTGCTGTTGGCTCGAGGTTGTTTCACTTTTCCTTTTGGCTAGCGCAGAACTGGGTTCAGGAAACTGTGCAAGCTTTCTCCTTACGGGCAAGTGACAAATTGGGGCAACAGCTTCGGGCAGCGGAGCGGTTGTGTGTCACGGCTCATGTGCTGCGACGCTCTGGAGCAGGGGTGGTTCTCAAAGAGTGGCGCCGTTTGCCGCGAGATTTGGAAGTTAGAAGACAGGCGCTTCTGCAGAAGTGGCGTCAAGCGGCCCAGCAGCCAAGCCTTTTGGAGGAAGGAAGCCGTCTGAGTTTCTGCAGAAGCTTTTCATTCTACGAAAAACCTTGCAGAAGCTGGACAAAGCAACTGAGCTTCACCAGTGGCATCACGATGCTGCGTTGGTCCTGTTGTCCAAGGGCTTCGAACAACTTCAGCATTTGGACGGTTTGGGTAGGCGGGACATGAGTCGCTAATCAGAAAACTCACGGGTGCAGGCCTTGCTTTTTCAAGCGCTTGATAGTGTCACTGAAGCGGCAGACAACAAACGGCAGAGCTGCAAGAGGAGATGCTTCAGCGGGGCCCATCTGTTTTGTCTGCAGACCAGGTGGCAAGCATGTCCAGCACTTTGTTTGACCATGGCCCAGCGCTAGAGCCGGCGAGCGAATCGCTGCGCTCGGCAGTTTGGGGGGCCCTCCAGTTGTTGGAGGCTCGCGCGGCCACCTTGAAGTTGACCACGCAGAGAAAGAGTCTGCCTTCTGTTGCCTCAAGATTGAGATGCTGGCGCGCGTTCGCAACATCTGTGCTGAGTTACAGAGAGATGCACATTGTGAGTTTTGTGGCCATTTTCCAGAACCCACACTGTGCGATGGGCTGCCAGCTTGCGCAGAACTTGGTGATTTGTTGTTTGATTCCTGGCAATTTTAGCTTCGGGTGCCAAGTGAAGGCATCCCTCTCCAATGGGGCACGCAAGATGAGTTGCATTGCTTGCCAGACGGCCGAAACTCAGCTTTTGTGGTGAATGATCAACACGGCTCGCACCTGCGGCTGCGCTCCAGAAAGCACCCGCCGCGGGGCTCGCTGCTTGTGAGGCCTTGCTGCTGCAAAGCAGGTCAGCGGAACATCCTGTGTGTGGGCCATCGTGTGCGCTCTCGCTGTGCCGCGGCAAGCTGGCAGCAGAGTAGCGCAGATCTCGTCCAAGGATGCCCTCAAGAAGCTGCAAAGCTTCTTGTTCATGTGGCAACTTCCCGCAGCAGAAAGGTACATGAGGACGACCACGTCCTTAGTGCACCAAGGCTTTCCATTGCCCCATGTGCTTGCAGCGGGGGAGTGGAGGAGCCAAGCTGTCTTGCGGTACGTTCCAGAAGACCATGTTGAGAACGCAGCATTGTGCTAGATTCTGATGAGGATGCCTGAAAAGGAGGCAGCGTCGTTGGGTGAGAAACAGCGTCGTTGGTTTTTTGTCCTGTGTGGATTGTGATCAGGGAGCTGTGCTTGGGACACAGCTGTCCATTGGTGTGGCTGTGAACGCAGAGGGGTGTCAAATGTGGGCCGCCTCTTTGGTCACGATTTGGGGACACACGTGAGGCTCGGGCACAGACAGCAAACCACCCCTCCAGAGATATGTGCCACTTTTCTCCGCGACTCTCCAATTCAGAGGAAATGTTGCAATGTTCGTTCCAGCTGGAGCTTTTTCTTCCTTCTTCGTAATCTGCAACAACGGAGCATGTGCTCCTTCGCGCTTTCCGCGAATGCAGCTGAGTTTGCAAACTTCAAGAAATTCCGAGGTGCCTGGTGGCCAAGCAGAAGAGCCGGGCCTTTCAGGAGCTCTCCGCGCAGGCGAAGCAGCTCAAGGAGCCCTCTGGCGACTCTGGGCCCCCTAAGCCTACCTTCTTGTCACAAGAGGAACCTAGCCAACGTGTGCTTGTTTGCTGTTTTTGTGTCACATATGTATATATGTATATGTACATATCTGCACGCACATATATATATATATATACATATACACATGTATATACACATGTTTGGCATACATACAACTATGTATGTATACGTAGGTGCATATATATATATATATATACATGAATAAATACAAGCTATCTGAGAAATGCCTCCATTGAGCGGTCGGAGGTTGTACGCGCACCCCAGGAGGAGCGGGACAGCTGTAAGAAGCAGATGGAGATCGCGCAGAAGGGCCAGCAAGAGGCGGAGGAGGCCAAGTCTAGGGTTTTTTGCGGAGGAGGCCAAGGGTGGCAGTGGTTGTCAAAACCACCCATTTTAGTCTGTTTTAAACCAATGGGATCCCATATTGCAGTAGGTGCACCGCCCGTTTTAGTTGAGTTTTTAGTCGGGATTGGGATGTTCACTGGGGGTACGATTTGGCTTTTGACCCATGGCCAGATGGCTATGAATTTAATTGGGGGCCCTTTGGTGGATATCATGTAGGTGGGGATTTGTGCCTGCCAACTATTTTGGAGGTGGTTCTCTATTAAAGTTCAGGGCCAGATCTTGGTGCGAAGTGTCCCACGTGCGAGCTAGCACATATAAGGCAAATGAATTAGCAGTTGACCACTTAGTTGCATATGCAAAGCCGTCTTGGCACTTGAATTGTAAGAGTTCACAGCAAACACCGAAGCGTATTTTGAGGGTGTCGGTGTCAGGGCCTGAATACTTCTTACCAAGCTTGGTCCTTGGGTTGCACTTTGCTTTGCGCCAGTTCTTCGAAACCTTCAAGCAGCAGACCAAGTTGGCGCTCATCAACTACTCAGACATGCAGTGCGCGTTAAGAGCCATCGGATTTGATCGCTGTTGCCTGCCTTGTTTGCAAGCCTCTGGCATCCAGAATGACTTTCTGTTCCGTCGCAATCGCGGCTAAGATGGCATGCACGGAACTGGAGGAAAGAAGACTAAGACAGATGTTTACACGCGCACATTCTCAATCGTGTTTTTTATATATATATACATAGAAATATATATATATATATATATGTTATTATTATCATTTTTATCGCCCACAAGAAACCGCGCTTTGTTTTTCACGCTCCCACAAGTTCCAGACCATGCCCAAGATCTACACAATCTGCAAGATAATGCAACATGTGACACAATCTGCAAGGTGCACGTTGGGCCTCAAGGCATCGCTACACACAATATGCATATACATATACATATACATATTTACGTTTTTATACGCACATATGTGTACGAATTCTGCTTGTGCATCTTGGGGTGTCACCCCAGCTTTTGAGGAAGCGATCTTTGAGGCAGTAACGCGCGGCGATAGGGCATTACAAGCTGCGTGAGGTACCGCGAGGCGACGGTCAAGGTGGATCTCCACAATCTCCAGGTGCATTGCCGAGAGAAGGCGGGGCGTGGCATGTTCACTTGGTGGTTCCCAGCCATCCTTTCAGCTTTCTCGTTTTGTAGGGTTTTCTGGGGGTTTCCATTTAACCCACTCAAAGTTAAACTTTTAGCCGAGGATCTGAGGACTCAGCTCGCCCCTTGGCCAACCTGTGATCAATTTGGCACCATTCAGCAAGTTATTCAGGGTCCCCAGTTTGGACATGTCTCCAAATTTGCTCAACCCCCGTGACCCCTTCCCCCCTCCCCCCCGCCCAAAAAAGACTAGAGGGCGATTGGCCCGAAAGTTTTTCCCCAGGTGCTCATCCAGCCGCGGAGATTTTTACATCGCTGCGGCGAGCGTGTCTGCACGCGGCGATGCTCAATGTGTATGGTCGCAGGAGAGCTCCATCTCATCATCCTAGTTTCCTCTCGAACTGCGCCGCGCGATTTCTCACGAAAGTGGTCTGCGCAAGCTGCATTGTTCCAGGCTGCTGCGCGCAAGTTGCTCTCTGCAAGCTGCTGCACGCAAGTGCTCTGTGCAAGTTGCTCTGCGCAAGTGCTCTGAGCAAGTTGCTCTGCGCAAGTGCTCTGCGCCAGTTGCTCCGTGCAAGCGCTTTGCGCATGTGCTCTGTGCAGGTTGCTCTGCGCAAGTGCTCTGAGCAAGTTGCTCTGTGCAAGTGCTCTGCGCCAGTTGCTCCGTGCAAGCGCTTTGCGCATGTGCTCTGTGCAAGTTGGTCTGTGCAAGTTGCTCTGCGCAAGTGCTTTGTGCAACTGCTCTGTGCAATTCGCAGAGCGCAAGTTGCTCTGCGCAAGTGACTCTGCGCAAGTTGCTCTGTGCAAGTGCTGCCGGAGCTGTGGGAATGTACTTCGCGTACTATTTTGTACTTAAAAGTTGCGATTTTCCAGCCGGAGCTGCGGGAGCACGCTCCGCATACTACGTCTGTACTTAAAAGTTGCGATTTTCCAACCGGAGCTGCGGGAGCACGCTCCGCATACTGCGTCTGCACTTAAGAGTTGCGATTCTCCAGCCGGAGCTGTAGGAGTCAAGCCGGAGCTGCCGCGGACCAGGGGGGAATCGAACCTGCGACCGCGGGATTGCGAAAGCAGGCGCGCGAGCCGCGAGACAACTTCCAAAGGCCATTTCGCGTGCAACAAATTCGCACGGCGCCACAGCGAGAGCGCTTCGACACGCACGATCCCCGCAGAGGGTCGCGCGCGGCTTGCAGAAAGCCCTCAGTTTTTGAACCTCGACCACGCGAATCTCTGCAGAGGGTCGCGCGCGGCTTGCAGAAATCGTAAAAAGTCCTCAGTTTTTAAACCTACCACGCGAATCTCCGCAGAGGGTCGCGCGCGGCTTGCAGAAATCGTAAAAAGTCCACAGTTCTTGAACCTCGACCACGCGAATCTCCGCAGAGGGTCGCGCGCGGCTTGCAGAAATCGTAAAAAGTCCACAGTTTTTTGACATCGACCGCGCGGATCTCCGCAGAGGGTCGCAATCCCGAGCGATGATCAAACTCCCGCCCCGGCGCCTTAGAAACCTAAACTAACTTACATAGCTGCTTACGCTACGCAAGCTCTACCTAACCTTAGCTCTGTGCCACCTGGCTCTGTGTCACTTGGCTCTGTGCCACTTGGCTGTATGCAACTTGGCTCTATGTAACTTAGCTCTATGTAACTTGGCTCTATGCAACTTGGCTCTATGTAACTTGGCTCTATGTAGCTTGGCTCTATGTAGCTTGGCTCTATGATGTAACTTGGCTCTATGTAACTTGGCTCTATGTATCTTGGCTCTATGTAACTTGGCTCTGTGCAACTTGGCTCTGTGCAACTTGGCTGCTCATGTAACTTGGCTCTGTGCCACTTGGCTCTATGTAACTTGGCTCTATGTAGCTTGGCTCTATGTAACTTGGCTCTATGTAAGTTGGCTCTATGTAACTTGGCTCTATGTAACTTGGCTCTATGTAACTTGGCTCTATGTAACTTGGCTCTATGTATCTTGGCTCTATGTAACTTGGCTCTATGTAACTTGGCTCTATGTAGCTTGGCTCTATAACTTGGCTCCGTGCAACTTGGCTCTGTGTAACTTGTCCAAGGGCTCCGCACGGAAGAACCCTTCGCGATGCTTTCGGGAAAACAAAGAGAGAAGAAAGCAGGAGATAACAATCAAGAGGCTTCTGTTTCTGTTTCCATTTGGTTTGGCTGACGAATCGGCCTCTGCGGAGGACATCACCATCGCAGATCTCCGCGGCCAGACCACCGCCCTCACCCACGAGACCGCGCCTTTCCGAGCCGCTGTTGGCAGTGGCACAACCCCCAAGTAAATGATGTCACCAAAGGATTTCCAAATAAAGAATTCTGCCCAAGTAGGCGAAACGTCAAGGCCCGCTGCGATGTTCGACGCGGGACGCGCGAGGAACCAGGATCTGGAAGAGAAGCTCATGAAGGCCTGGGTGGTTCAGGAGGCCAACAGTGCCAATAGTGGCCCCAGTGTGCTTAGTCAATTGCGAAGGAAGCTTTCCGTGCGCGGCCAAACTAATCTGTCTAGGGATTGGGGTTTGGTTTCCGGGATGACGGGGGCGGGTGCAAGATACGGGCTTTCGAAACCAGGCGTTGCACAACCCTAACACATTGCAGGTGTGGACATTGGGCAGCAGCAGGAATCTCACCAAATGTCGGGATTTGTACTCTTGGCATCTTTTCTGACATTTTCTGACATTACCCAGAGGTGGTATTTCTTTGCGCCAATTTTTGCCCCCTCCCTACCCAAGCCGCCGCCCACCCTCATCTTGCTGACCTCAGAGCCTTCGCCTTTTCCGGGCCGCCCGCTTTTGCTCCCCTTTCCCCCCTTGCGCCCCAGTCGCGTCGCTCGGGCGCCCGGTGCCGAGTCGTCGAGTCGAGGTGCGGGAGGAGATGGAGCGCCAGGGCTCCGAGGTGGAGCAGCTGCCGGCGCTCTACGAAAAGCTCCAGTGCCCCCGGCTGGGCGGAGGGAGCTCGGGAGAGCTGCCACTTCTTAAAGATGCTTGCGGGCCTGAGGTTATTTGTTCTCCGTTTTTTTTGGAAGTGTGAGGGGGTAGTCTTGAGTTTGGAGGAGGTCACTTTTTTGTGAAGTGGCAAAAAGATGGCCGTGGTGTAATTGTTGGAGTGCCTTTCAATTCCATTGTGGCGGCGTACATTTCCCATGTCACATGATGTCCAAAGGGCGCAACCAATTGAACTTGATAATCCTGATCGGCTTTGTGGTCTGTAGGAGGTATCAGAGTCAACACATGTTATCCTTCTCACTTGAATCCCAGAGCAGGACGGCTTCGATGCTGACATGGGCTGTAGACTGCCAGCCACGCCTGTCATGCAAAAGCTATGGCGAAGTGTCTTGCTCTGTTTGACTTGGCCGTCTCTTGAGGCTTCGGAGCGAATGAGAATGCAGTTTTCAGGAGTGAGGCAGAGCGGCATAGCGGCATACTGGCCATTTGGGACTCGAGGTATTACGAGTCCGAGGAGGCAAGCTGGCAGTCCGGGAAGGAAGTCGTTGCGGATGGAAGTGATGTGCCCAAGCTGTCGTGCTTGGGACAAGTGCCCATCATCCCTTGCTGGCCTTTGATTGAAGTTCAAATAGTAAATATGCACATGAGCCACAATCGAAACCGGGTAGATAAAGGTTTGCAAGGGATACTCCCAGCCATAAATAGCCGGCGGCCGCCTTCTTAATTCTTCACATGGTTCTGGGTAGACCATTTTAATGCCCGGTTTTGATTATGACTCACTGGGCCAGGCTGTCTATGGCGTCTCCTTCGCTCGCCGGGTTGCTGCCGAGGTTGGCCGTCAAGTTTTTTTGGACTTTGCCACATACATACTGTTGGTGGACGAAATCCTGCACCACTTGGATTCCATGCAAAACCAGTGTTGTTGGTATTTCCAGGGGAATCATCATTGCAGGGTTTCTTGGAAGGAGCAGGATTCCTGAAGTGAGATCGGATGCTTCATCTAAGTCCTCCAGTAATGCCCTTTTACCCTTTTTTGGGCTACTAAAAGTAGACTGCAGAAAAAAGGGTACCCTTATTCTAACCTCTGAGGACCTAGTCATGATTTTGCTTTGGCAGGTGCTTGGCAAAGAGGTGGAAGAGATCGTCGTGCTGCGCCTATCCCCGTTTCGAATGTGGCTGTGGGTCAAAACCAATAGAATCCCATTTTGGGGTAGGTGCACCACCCATTTTAGAACCTATTTTAGTGGTTGGATTGGGATGTTTACTGGGGGTACGATTTGGATTTTGACCCATGGCCGACAGAGCTCAGCAGCTCAGGGCCGTTTCCCACCCTCCATGCCGATGGAGAGGAAGACGCAGGCGGTCGGGCAATGCCGATGAAACAAAGATGACCATTCGTTCAGTCACTTGTTGGGTTTGGACCATTTGTTTAGGGGTAAAAGCAAAACAACAGTTGATGTTTGCCAATGCACTCAGGAAGTGAGTGGGACAAAATAAACCCACCAGGATATGCACCGCAGGTTCTAGTCTTTGGTTCCATTTATCAGGGTTCCATTTGGGGTACCTATTTTTGACCCACAGCCACATGACCATCCGTGTGGCTTCTTTCAGATGTTGCACCTGCCAAGAAGTTCCGCCTGGCTTCACCTGTACCGATCAATCCATGTGCATGATATGGCCTTTGTTTGCCTCATGCCTTTGCACGCTACAAGCGTTGATCATGGCGTGCGCAGGGCACATCCTGTGCTCCTTGTGTGCCCTTTCCGAACCAAGGCTCACTTCCGGTTTTGGCATAACGAATTTGCCCAAACAATTAGCATGTTGTTGCGTTCTGCCAAGCTAATAGGGCAGGAATCACAGAAGTAAGTCGACGCCACCAGCCGTGGAAGAAGAACAACCCTGAGCTGGTGGCTGACCCGGTGACGGGACTTTGCTTTATTTTCATGAACATGGGGCACTTTGACGCTTTACCCCTCAAGTTCAGCATCCACAGCACTTTTGTGAATCACTCAGACCTGTGTCGTCTCAGGCGACCATGGACGGGGTGCTGGAGCATTTGCGCACCACCATGCGAGACGCCGAGAAGCTCAAAGAGCAGGCTCTGAGAAGAGCTGGCTCTGCGGCCCCCGCAGCAAACCCTACCAAGGTGAAGCTAAGCCAAGGAAATGGTGGACGCTGTTCACATGGTCGGGGAATCGGTGGTTTGGACCATGGTCCTCTTAAAGGGACGGGGTGCCCGTCAGGTGCCATGTCACTTGGTGGTAGGGACCTTTTTTGCTGGAAAGAGTCGGGCGCCAGTAAACGCCATGTGGACATCGCCGGGTTTTCTCAGCGAACGTTGGGAGGTCATCAAGCTGCGGCAGACGCTGGACGAGCTCAAGCAGCTGGTGCCCATTTGGAACGAGACGACGATGCACGCGGCTCCGACTCGCTTTGTGCAGACGTTTCTTTCCCATGAGATCATGGCAGACGTAGGTGTCTTTTTTAATTGGTTTGCTTGAAACATAGATGGCCCTGGTTTACCTGGTGGTTTAATTATCTACCAGGGCTATCTATTTACCACAAAAGGACACCTATGATGGCAGATGTTTGAGGGTGGGGCCACAGCTCCACAAGGCACACCTCCCAACAGGTCTTAAGGGATTGGCCATGAAATTTCCACCTCCAAGGTGGTTGGGGCATAAATCCCCTAAATGATGTCCACTTGACGTCCAGATGCCCACTTGACGTCCAGTGATCTGCGCATACGCGCGCGTGAAGGCACGCGTGCGCCCAGGATGTGGTGGATGCCTTCGACGAGGACTCCGCAGTGCACCGCCAGGTGGGGGGTGCGTCTCGAGGCGAGACGCAGCCAGGCGAGGCCATGGAAGCTGAACGGACCATTAGAGGCCAATTGGGGCCGCTTCCGGCTGAGGGAGTGTACTCTTCTGGAGACTTGTAAGAGGAAACCAAGAGGAATGATGGAAGCCAAATTTCGGGGTGTGGCGCCACATGCCGTTGGGAAACAAACTTTTTGATTGTTTTGGTAGAAAATTAGGTGCCCCTGATTTACCTGGTGGTTTAATCATCTACCAGGGCCATCTATTTGCCCTAAAGGACACCTATGGAAACAAACCCGCTCGGCCGGGTTTTGCCGGGTTTTGCCAGGTCTACACCATGAGCGACAAGCGGAGCTTCGCGGGGCGTGGCCCCTCAGGTTGCGCGTTAATGCGAGCAGAGTCACTCTCAAAGGCCAGGAGGAAGGTTAGTAGGGGCATGGTTTCGGCACCTGGACTGCTAGAAAATGGTTTTCTTCTTTGCACTCACTGACTTGGATCAGCTTGAGCCTGTGCGATGACCAAGGTTAGGCCTGGACGAGAGCGTGCCTCCTTACCTCCGGGCGGAGGCGCGCGTTGGTGTGGCGCTGATTTGGAGCTCGCTGGGCTGGTGGCGCGTGAGGGCTTCGTGCGGTACCGCTACATCTCAAAGAAGGAGTGCGAGGACATCATGGAAGCCTTCCATGCTGAGGCTGCGGAGAGTGGGGCTGGGGGGCACTCCAGGAGTGAAGGCGCAGAGTTTCGCTGGATCATTCCCAGAGAAACACTTCAAAGCAGTGGTAGACGGGAAGGAAGTTGCTGGGATCTTCTCGTCAAAAGGGGGGCTGTCTTTTTGCGGCTCGGCGCCCTTGGGGTAGGGTTGGAGCACCGAAAAAGAGCCCACGCTTTTTTTCCCCCATAAATGTATATATATATATATATACAGTACATATATATATATATATGCGTACATACATATCTGTATATTTATATGGCCGTCTCGTAGGTCAACACCAATGGTACCATTTTGGGTAGGTGCACCACCCATTTTAGTCTATTTTAGTGGGGATTGGGATGTTCACTGGGAGTACGGGATTTTGACCCATGGCCATCTACATATATGCGATTCTTCCTTCGGCTTTCCGCTGGATTTTTGGTGGATTTTTTCAGTCCCCGCCGGACATGAACTTCCAGCTGCTGCACCAAGAGCTCCACTCCTTCATGCAGAGGCAGGCCCCCTAGCCGTGGCAAAGCTCGGGGGTTGATCAAGGTCAGTAAAACGTGGGGTGACCCAAAAGGGGAAACCACCCGCAAAATAAACAGAAAACGGTTTCAAGCACTAGATGGGAAGAGTTGTCCATCACTTTGGGGCCGAAGGGAATGTTTGCTCAACCGTCCAGTCCTTTCCAAGGAGCCGTGACGCATGCTCAAGGTTCCGCAAGGTTCCTACTGAAACACGCCTGGGAGGTTTTGGCCACGGCAGAAGTGCCCTGTGACCCCTTTAATTGTCTGGGTCCCCAAAATGGCTGGCTCCAAGCGACATCCCGAGGCATCCCGTTTAGGTATGCCAACCTCAGTTTGGCTGGGCCCTTCGGACTTTCTTCACGAAGGCGCATGTCCGGCAACGCGTTGGGAGGTTCCCCAAGGGGAGGCCTCGCGACTCGTGCGGACTTGTGCGAGGCGCTTCTCGGAGGAGGAGTTCACCGAGTTTGCGTACGCCTTCATTTGCAGCTTGGAGGCGAGCGAGCGTCTTGCCAGTCGTGTTGGGTATGACCGCTGTGAGCTTAGGTGTCCTTGTTGGTTAGCTTGTTTAAAAAATGGATGGCTTCCACTGGTTTAGATGGGTTTCACTTCATTTGCCAGGGGAACCCATCTATTTGTCCAAAAGGCCATGGCTGTCCTGGCTTCTGATTGGAGACCAAAAGGAAGCCGTGGCGGCTTCAGATGTGATCTCGGCAGGCCTATCGAGATGATCCTGACTTCGAGCTGTGCTGCCGGTATGCTTATCGGGAAAGCGATGATATAAAAAAAGATCGGGGCGAGGGCCGTGGCTTCCAGCTGTGCGAGGCTTCGTTTTGATCGCACGTCAGGTTTGACCTCATGCTGGCTGGCGCCGTTCACCCGTCCATCATGCAGGCCAGGGAGCTGGCTGCCCAAATGGGTGGACAGGATGCTCCGATTTCCGGCAAAGGGTCCAGCTAATTCAGCTTCATACTCACAGGAGTTCCATGGATCAATTCAAAGGCAGAGGAATAAAATACGGCTACTTCAGATCTTGGAGCATTTCTTGCAAGGGGGTTGCACGCCAACTCAACGAGCACGGGCCCCGATCACATCTCGTCGAGGACCAGGAGAACATGCTGCGGGAGCTGCAAGCTCTGGTGCACAGCTGCGCGGATGGCACGCCTGCGGCTTTTTCTGCGCTTCTCGTGCATAGTTTCTCGGGCTTTTGGATAGCAATCGGACCTCCGAAATCGTCGGTTTCCTGTTTCCTGTTGTTGGTCTGCAGAAGGGAGTTTTACCATGGACGCGCACTCATTTGCAGTCAAAGTTTGGTTCGCCCTTGTTCCGTTGTCTCAAGGGGCCGTGCGTGGCAAGGTACGGATTCTGGCCACCACGGGCGCGGGGGGAGGCTGGAACCTGGCGGGGAGGGGGGAGATTGGGGGAAGACAGTGAGACTTGACCTCGGAATGCTGCGCCGCGCCTTTGCCAGCCTGTCGTGCTGTTGTGGCGCAAAGCAATCAATCCACGCAAGCGACAATCCCAAGATCAGAGAAGCAAAACTGCTACAAGCAGACATTGGCTGCGGATCTGTCCTTAGGCGTCTCCACATGAGGAAACCTAAGCTGAGTTTTTTGTTGACCTGGCGTTGGCGTTTGCTCGCCATTTGCTGTCTCTCGGCGCTCGGCTGGGCCGCCGTGGCCCAAGGGCCCAACGGCGAGGAAAATGGCGTGAGAGATGCCAGGGGAGCTGGATCGCAGGAAGAAGCTCGAACGAAGTACGAGTTCAAAACCGGAGGGTAGAGGAAGGAGGAGAATCACCTTGCCATAAATGGCCATGAACTTTAATAGGGAACCGCCTCAAAAGTGATTGGTGGACATGAATCCCCACAGCTTACTAAAATTCATACCCGAATGGAGAAAAAGGTTGCCTGCCGCCTTTTTAATTGATTCCTGACGTGGTTCTGGGTAGAGCATTTCAACACCGATCGGTCTTGACTGTGACTCAGGTTGCGGTTTTCTACTGTCACTTTGGTTGCGAAGGAGACCCAAGTGGGGATGGCGAGAGACCATTGCTTTCGAACATGCGGACTGATGGCCCGATTCTGAGGATCCTCCGCTGCGCAAACGCTGCATGCAACTTCAAGGTTGCCGAAGACCCTGCGGTGGGCGGATTTTGCTGCACCAGTGTCTTGGTGCGCTGATGCTTTGCGGGGGCAGAATTCCGACTGGTTGGCTCAAGACTTGTTCTCCGGTGGATTTGAGTTGCCACACACCGAAAGGGCTTGACCATCTTACACGAAACGGTGTGGGTCAGAAGGCACTTGCCACTGGCTATCCGAGTCGAACCCCCTTTTATGGCTCTTTTTGGGGGGTCGCTGTCCGCGAGCTCGGCCCAGGCTGCTATGCCTCGTTCAGCACTGGGGGCGTTCTAAGCCATGGACCCCGTTGCTGCCAGGCAGGGTCCTAGGCATGCAGTGGATGAGTGTTAGCCAAAATGGGTGTGTCTTTTTCAAGGGGACCCCCCCCCCCGAAAAGAAAAAAAACAGAAGAAGAAGAAGAAGGTGGTGTTCTCCCTTTAGTTTCCCTTGAAAACCAACCCAACCAAAAGTGGGTTGCCTGAAAACAAGACACGGCCAAATATGACACAGACCTGTATGCATGAAGAGGGGCCACTTGTCTCACCTGTCTCCCAGTCGCGCGGCCCTCCTTATCTTCCACGCGCGCAAGCCGTGGCGCCGGCAGCGGCGCTGCAAGTGCGTGTGAAGCCCGTGCCGCAGGCGGTCGCTTGCGTGCGCCGCTGGCCGCACATTCAGAGGAGGCTGGCCAGGCGTTGGCTCCGTTATATCTTCGAAAGACTGTCAGGTGCCAGGATGCCACAACACTTGCTTGTGGCTGAAGCATCACAACTGCAGCTCTGCTGGGGAGAAAAATGGCCCATGCCACATGCCCCTGCAAAGGAGAGAGGGTTGAGAGTAGTGACACTGAGCGCAGAGCAGAGGGAACCGAGAGCCCCGGCACCGAGGAACGATGGGGGCCGTCGGGACGGCAACGGTTCGACCCCGCGGCAGCGTGCTGAAGCGGGGGGCTGCCCAAGCGGCGCCCGCCGTGAAGCGGTGGCGCCTCGGTACGGCGATGAATGCCTGGGTGGGGCGCGTGAACGCGGATTCCGGGGCTGCGAGTGGCGTGGCTCTGGGCGGGTTTGCCATGACGTCTCTCGTGGAAGAGATGGAGAGTGCCGATGAACTGGAAGCCAGTCCATATGAGATGCGACCAGTTAGCAGAGGCACGGTAGGCGCCCGGATGGCCCGGGGCTCTGCAGGTGCTATGGTGGTGTCTAGAGCCTGGGGTTCTGTGGGCCAAAAGTCTTCGATGTCTATCTGGAACCGGGCGAAGGGCGGGGGGCAGGATTTCCTGCAGCAGCTTCCAAAGCGCACAGAAGGGGTTTATGAGGTGGACGAGCTGGAGGAGGAGCCCGAGGAGCCGGAGGAGCCGGAGGAGCCAGAGGAAGCGGAGGAACCGGAGGAGCCAGAGGAGACTGAGCTGGAGGAGCTGGAGGATGTCATCCATCTTCCCAAAGCAAAGGCGCCTAAGGCGGAAGTGGTCGCCGATACCTTGGATTATATGGCCATGCGGCAAGAGGCGGAGGAGCGTGCTGAAGAGCAGTATGCTTCGGGCGTGTTCACCGTGGCAGATTTGAAATACATGCGCCGGAAGTGGCCCGGCCGCCCCCCGACGGGGGTGGCCATCTTCAAAGATCCCCATAGCGAGGAGATGCAGTCGGCTTGCCGGAGATGCCTGCAGGTTTGTTGCTGTAGCGACGGCGTCCCAGTTCGGGTGGCGAGTCTACCGGCCCACCCTTAGCACCGGGACGCGCAGAACCCGCAGCAAAAACCCATGCCCTATCTGCACGAGGGACTTGAAGCAACCGCCGCGGTACATAGGCTCCTTGGGCTGGAGCTTCGTTTCTTTGGCGAAAGGACAACAACTATGAAGGTTGTAAAGCAGTTCTGTGGCAGGACCATTCCCCAACGAAGCGCCGGCTGAGCAAGAATCTCATGTCTACATTGTTTTTGCAGCGATTGATCAGAACCTGCGACCGGGTGCTGTAAAAAGTGGGCATGCTCGGCGCAGTCACACTCAAAACCCGTGTAATTGGAGGGTAAGGGACAATCTTGGTGCAGCAGTCACTCCGCTTTGTCCATTCTTCCTGGGATTACCATTTTATCACAGGGTTTTGCAAATATGACTCTTTTGCGGTCAGGAGACCTCCAAATGGGGATGGGAGCTCCAAGGGATGGAGGGAGAGGCAACTGGACTTCTCCGCCCGACAGGCTCACGGGCTTGAAGTCCGGCCGGGACCAGGCCAGGGGAGCCGGGCGCGAACGAGCGGTCAGCGCAAAATCGTCGGGGAGCCGGGTGTGGTGTACCCCAAGGGGTGGCTCGTTTTGTGTTTCGAGGATTTGTACCGGAGACCAAAAGAAGTGGTGGTAGTTTTGGCTTTCAAAAGCCAGGAAAAAGGGGTACTGTACCCTTCCTTAAATTTGTGGTTTTGGTACAATCATAATCAACGAAAGACAAACCCACTGAGACCTTTTGACATGTACTTCTTTTTTTAGGTGTTTCCGGGCTAAGCCTGAGCAAGTCACCCCCCATGCACCGGCCCAAGGAATTTGTGATGATTCTTGCGCTTTGCAGCCCGCTCCTGGCTGAGGTAACGCGGCGAGTGATGCGGGCAGTCATGCAGGCGGCATGCCGACGGTGTTTTCAAAAGCTGGGAATTCCTGAACATGTTTTTGGCGCTCTTCATCTTCTGTGCGGATGTTTGTTGATCTATTTCAATTTCGTGCTTATCATGACAGATAAGCATACAGCTGGAAGGAAAGCGGTCACAAAACAAGCTCAGGATGGGCCAAGCAGCGGTTTGCACAATGTGGGGCTCGTTCCACGTACTCAGCTTCTTTCTGCAGCAGTTGACTCATTCAAACTGCTGATATTACTTCATTCGCAATCGTTTACATCCATCCATAGGCGAGATCTTTCCGTAGCAGCATTGGAACTGGGACATTCGCTCAAACCAGAGACATCTAGACTGCAACACAAATCGTGTCAATCTTATTGACAAGTACTTTGCATATCGACCAACAAGCACGCGGCTAATTAAACATATTTCCTGAAGTGCCAATATACGTTTGAACATAAATGCCGACGGCGACTCCCAAAACACGTAGTCGGGTGGCATTCCTTTGATGAGTGAGAGCACCACATAGAGTTTGCGTTTCTGTTGTGGCTTCATTCATAGCGTATTCCAGATGATGCCACAATCGCCGGTTTGCAATTTGAAGTGGGGACCATCAACAGCCACCGCAGGAGAATTTCACCGATGCTTCAGGTCAGAAGACCTTCGGTTTCCAAAGATCCCGGCCAATCTCCTCAGTCGGCCAGGCCATGTTCCCAGAGAAGTCCGTGGAGCGAATGAACGCCCTGATGCGGGTCAGCCCGGCGCCTTTTGTTTTCTTTTTTTTGTTCCCACGGTCAGAGAAGGCGGCCGCCGAAAAAAGGCTGAGGAAACCGGCAGAGTCTACTGGACATCGGCCGGCTTTTTCGTCTTTTGGTATTCGGCCAACTTCCTGCGGAATTTCCTGGATGAAACAACCCAGCGATCTTCCATGCCAACCCCCTGTGAAGCAGCTGATCGTTCATTTGAATTTTTAGTGGGCCCGCCAAAGTTGTGGTTTTCCTTTTGCTTTCCAAGTTTCAAAACCACCCAACACAAAAAGCCGAGGAGCCAGCCATTTGGCATTGCTCCCCCGTGCTCGTTCATTTGGCAGGGGTTCTCTGTGTATCACTTCCTCGACTCACAGAGAGAGCTTGTCCTGGGTCAGGCCTTGCACACCACGCTGCAGATGCTCTTCGACGCGGGCCGCTCCTCCAACCCGGACGCCGCCTTTGTAAGCGACCTCTTCTCGGCCGCTTGGGTTTAGTGGGAGGCAAGGTGACTGGGTGCCTTTTTGGTCGGGTTTGAGGACTTGTACCCCAACACCCACCCAATTCTGGAAGCTGGAAGGGCCTTGTCAACCGCCAGTCTTCACTTCGAAACTGGAAGGGCCTTTTGTATCGGCCAGAGTTGGGCAGCCGGAACGCTTGGACTTGGTGTCAAGACCGTCGCCACATCTCGCCTCCCTTCCCCCTTGATTTCCTTCCCCCTTGATTTGCTTTTGAGCCACTTGCTCAAAACCCGGGTAGAAGGTGAGCAAGGGACGATCCCAACCATAAATAGCTGCGGCTATCCGCCTGAGTTCTTTGGTTCTGGGTGAGCCATGCTTGTACCGTGTTTTGCTTGTGACTCCTGTCAGCTTTCGTGCGGATTCCTCGAAATCGACTTGGTCTCAGGCTTCTGCAGACGGGACCCAGAGCCCCCTCATCGAGGAGATGCGGCGGCAGCATCTCCACGAGGTCAGAGCTTCGGATGCGGCTGACGCATCAGACCCGCGAATCGGGGCACACGAAATGCAGGGCCAGGGGGGGTGTCCTTTTTTGGTTGTTTGAAGAATGGATGAGTTCCACTGGTTTAGATGGGTTTCATTTAGTTACCAGTGGAACCCATCTATTTGTCCAAAAGGCCACCTATGTTCATGTCTTGAAATGGTCTTGTGCAGCAAGTGAAAGCTGCAAAGGGGTCTGAATGCAACAAATTTGAAGCCAAACACATTTTTTTTTCTCAACCGCCTCGACCACATCCCCCGCAATTCGGACGAACCCAAATCGATCCCCCGACGCAGGTGCTGGAGTTTACCGCAGAGCTCTCCCACGCCCTCATCAGGTGCCGCAGCTGTTTGGGAAACTGGGGATGGTTTCAAACGAGAGCCGACAAGGTTACTTGGCTCAGAACATCCAAAAGGGAGGTTTCTAGGTTGGACAACACATGGAAGAACCTGCGGTTTGGGCTTGAGATGGGGAATGTGACAGTATGGACTTTTGATTTAACGTCTTACATAGCTGCTGATATTGTATCGTTTAGGTGGCGCATCCTATCTCCGGCCTGCATGTCTCTCCCCGTGCTTCAGGGCAGCCGGCGGCGAGATTCGGGCGCCTGAGCTTAGAACAGGGTTTTCCGCTTGGATTGAAACACACTTATTTTGCCTTTGGAAAGCAAAATATCACTTGGGGACTTGCGTTCTGGGTCCGTCCTCGTTTGAAAGTTTGCCTGAGGAATTCGTGGAAGCGGCTCTCTGAGGTAAACATCCACGGCCGGATGGACGCCTACATGCTGATCTCCAAAGAGGCGCCGCTTTTTTTTTCTTTTAGGGCGACCTTTTGTCAGGAACCTCGGGGAACTCCGGCATTTGAGCCACGTGCTCAAAACCGATTCGGGTAGATGAAGCCAAGCCCGGCCATAAATTGCGGAGATCCGGCTGAGTTCTTGAAGCATGGTTCTGGGTTCACCATAGTACCGGGTTTTGAGCAAGCGGCTCATTTTGGGTTGTGAATCGGAGATGGATTCCTTGACGCTTCTTTGCCCTCCAAGAGGTGGGGACCGGCTCGAGTGATTCGCGAGCGGGTCTCGAGGATACTCTCCGCGTGCTCTCGGAGAGGATTCCAGCATCTTGGTCTGCACTGAGCGCGCCCTCCAAATATTTGCATGATGACTTTTCTGACAGGGTCCCTAAATTCAATTCAAATCCCTCAAAATCAAGGAACCCGTGTCTAGCATGCATGCCAAGTTTCTTTCTTGGCCCCCTTGGTCCAGCCCAGGAGATCAAGAGCGTCACCATGGCCGCTGCCTTATTTGTTTGCCGCTGCATCGGAGTGGGGGCCGCTCGCTGCATGGGGGGTTCTGGGATTCTGGGAGGTGGACGCCATGTGGAAGATCGGGGAGGAAACCACCCCCTACCAGGTGGCGGAGGTGGGCCTCGTGCGTTCCCGGTGGTAAAGATGAGTGCATTGCACGCCATATGGCCATGGGTCAAAAGCCAAATCGTACCCCCAGTGAACATCCCAATCCCCACACAAATCCCGACTAAAATGGCGGTGAATTCACCTATCCCAAAATGGGATCCCGTTGGTTTTGACAACCACAGCCATATGTTCTGTGCCTTGCGCTCATGTGATTGGGGGGGCACATTGCAAGGTGCTCCAAAAGTTCCGGCACAACTTCCTGCTGAAGCAGGAGAACGCATGGGCGCCTTGCTTTAACTGGGATTCGTGCAGATCTGAGCTTCGGCCAGATCTTTTCGGGTTGCAGCAGCAACCTGGCTCAAACTACAGCACGGCCTTTTGCAGCATGTTCGTAGCGAGCAGCAGCCCGACAATCTGATAGTGCATGCCGGAATTTAAGCAGGAAGTGCAAAGGCCCTTTCCAAGAGGAAAGTAGTCTTTTTACAAGGGTCCGCAGGCACTTCCGTGTTAGCTGGCGCCGAAGAAACGGCTCGTTCCCAAAGCTCCCGTGGCGAGATCCGCGAGGTGGTGGTGGGCCCCAAGGCCGTGGTCGAGAAGGCGCTGGAGCTCGGCTCAGGCGGGGAGCGAGAGAGTCCTGCGATGCATCTGGCCGTTGCATCCAGTGGCTCAATGTGGCAGGTGTCCTTTTTGGTTGTTGTGGTAAAGAATAGATGGTTGTTTTGGTTGACCTGGTTGTTTCATCATCCAGCTGTTTTCCCAAAAGGACGCATGTGCCCAAGGCAAGATGCGAGGCAGAAGAGTTGCAGGAGCCTTGCAACTTTCGGGTTTGGCTCCAGCTGACAGCACTGCACTCATATCTTCCCGCAAAGCCGACACGCCGAAAAGCCATGATGGAGATGAAGCAGAAGGATGTGGAGGTTTGCAGCCAGGACAGCACTGCGAGCGGATGCAGCAGCAAAGGGAGCCTCAGTGTGGGCTCGTCGATTCCCAGCAGCAAGTTCCGGCGCGGCGGAATTTTGCCCACTGCCGTTTGCCTCAGCAAGGCGGCCATCGGCGCCGGCGTGCTGTCGGTGGCGGCGCACGGGGCAGAAGTGGGCGCCGTGTATCAAATGGTTTGCCTCATCCTGGGCGGGCTGCTCACTTTGGCTAGCATCCGCATGATCGCGAACGCTAGTGTGGAGACTGGCTGCTGGAGCTATGAGGACATCTGTGAGGAGCTCTTTCACCCAGCCATGTCGCTTTTCACAGGCTTCATCAACGTGTGCAACTGCCTGGGTTCCTCTGCTGGGTATCTCATCGTGTGTGGCCAAGTGTTCCAGGTGATCTTCCAAGCGGATGAAAAGGCTCGGAACATCTTCGTGGTGCTGGTGGGCGTATTCGTGTGCGGCCCTTTGGCTTTGGCCAGGCACGTGGGCTTCATGCGACACCTGGCGGCCATTAGCGTGGGGGCTCTGTTGCTGTTGGTGGGTTCGGTGGTGTGGTACTGGGGTGAGCACGGCATCGACGAGTCCGTGGACGTGGACAGCTTCCTGCTGCCCGGCTCGGGCGCGACAGTATTCACCTACATGAACTCCATCAATAACATGGTCTTCGCATACAACAACCAGTTCAACGTTCCGCAGCTCACTGGGGAGTTGACTCCTGCCCCCTCTGTGCACAAGATGACCAAGGTCGCTGTGTTGAGCACAAGCCTGTGCTTTCTGCTCTATGGAAGTGTGTCCATCTTCGGAGTGCTGGCATTCGGCGTCGGCGACAACCAGAAAGACACGCTGATCCTGGATCTGATGCCAGCGCGCAAGGAGTGGCACGTGGTGGTGTCTCTCTTTGCGGTGATGTTCAGCGTCCTCACGTGCTTCCAGTTCCACGTGTACCCCATCCGCCAATTCTCTGCCTATGCGGTGCGCAAGCTCCGGGGACTTCCGACCAAAGCTGCGGAGGAGGAGGAGGTCGCGGGCGACGGGTGCTGCGGCCGGTCGTTGGCGCGGTGGCTGGATATCGCCTGCGCTTTGGGCACCGTGGCCGTTGCCATCTTGATCGCAGTGGTGGTCACCTCTCTGCGCACCATCCTGAACTTTATCGGCGCCTTCGCCTCTGCATACATCTCCTACGTGGTGCCGCCGCTGTGGATCCTGGCCCTCCGCAGGAAGGGCAAGGACTTCTCTTGGCTGGCGCCAGAGATTCTCTTCAGCGTGGCATTGCTGTTGCTTGGCGCCTTCTTCTTCGTGTTCGGCACCTACTGTGCCATAAAGGGGGCTTAGGCAATTGTACAAGTAGCTGTCGGCTGAATTAGAGACTATCGCTGCTCATTCAGCTGGAGTCTTTGCATGGCTTTCTGCGAGCAATCTCGCTTGCATAGGTTGGAACATTGGCTTCTCCTGCTTCAGGGAGACTCTTTGATTCCTCCCCCTCTTGAACACACCCAGGGCCGCAAAGTCGCCCCACTTGTACAGGGGTGTTCAGCAGGGGCTTGGTTCATCGTGTGGATTCTCAAGGGATGGTTCGTGCATCGAGGTCAGCCACAGCGCCGGCTTTCCAGGCAGCCCTCGCTGCACAAGCATCGCACTCGTGCGATGGCTCTTGAGGGCGCGACACCGTGGCGCGCAGCAAAACTGGGCATTTTGCTGTGCCCATGCCGAGCTCGCTGAAACGCCTACTAGTATTGCAAGTTCATTCGTGTGCTGTCCAGGCCAAAATTCAGTGCCAGAGGCGTGGGCCCGAGTGAGCATGCATTTGAAAGTAGCAAGCATCAGTCAGTCACAACTCAAACAACTCAAGGGTGACGAGGAGAAAGAGACGGGGCAGTTGAGCGCAAAGGCGCGTGCTGTGCTTGCTGGTGACAGAAACCACAGCTTGCTCTTGGCGTGACCTTCTGCCGGGGGGCGGGGGTCACGTTTGTTCTTGGTTCCTTCTCGATTGCCCAGGGTCATTATTTTGACTGCTTCTGGGGTTATCAAAGTCAGAGAATGGGGCTGTTTCCCTTTAACCCACCACTTAGGGGTGACCTTTGATGATGGTAACATAATGGGGCCAGTTGCCGGGTGTGATCGTCGGTTCAGCAGATCGCCGGTCGGTTCCTTCGGTTCAGGCGCCGCAGCCCCGCCGGAACCGCGCCCTCAAGGTGCTGGACAACAGTTTCGCGCGGGACGAAGCGCCGGGGGGCCCAAAAAGAAAGGGACGCCGGTCGTTGGTTGGTTTCATGCCACGAGGGGCTGAACAACCTTTAAGATTCCTCTGGAAATGAGGGGTTCAGTTTGGGGCTGAACCTCGGTTCACGACAAATACAGGGTTTTGACCCACAGCCATACATGACGCTGGCTCAGATCTCAGCCCGATCGAGGTACACCCCGCAGGCTCTGCAGAAGGAGGTGCGTCGCTCTGCAAGGAGCGGATCGATCCGACCGATTTCCGCTCGCCGATGGGCTATTTTGAACGAGGGCTGCCGGTAAGGGGAGTCAAGAGGCATAGGCATAGGTGTCCTTTTTGGTTGACAATAGAGGGCGATTCCTGGTTTACCTGGTGGTTCAATCAACCACCAGTGCCATCAGGTGTCCCAAAAAGGACACCTATGGCAAGAGGTAAACCCTTGTCACACACACACACACACACGTTCATGCATGCGGATCTTTTCGCTCTTTGCCCCAAGTTGGCAGGAAGTTCACTGAGGAGGAGCGCCTGTGGTTGTTCGGTGGGATTTGAGACGAAGGTTCCATATTCACTATCATTTAATTGGCCACGGGGCATAACCTATGGCTCCATTTTATTTTGGGGTGGATGAACATCCATTTGCCACCTATTTTGATGTTCACCAGGGGTATAGGGTTTTGACCCACAGCCATTTGAGTAAGGAGGATGACTTTTGGTGCACTCACCAACTTACAATAAGGACACCAAGGGGCTTCTCGCCGAGATCCAATGTCAGTGTCGGATGCAACATGGCAATGAGCGCTGGCTGAGCTTCTGAGGTTCAGGTCATACATGAGTCGCAGGAGCCAACAGACTGAGCCACTGAGACATCTGTGGGGTGGATGGTGCAAAACAAAATGGATGGCAGAGATATCTGATTTTTTAGGCTTTGAAATTTTCTCATCGCACCGAAGCGTCGAGTGACCAACCTCTGGCCAAAACGGCCACAGGCAAAGCCCCAGTCCTCGACCGCCCTCAAAACCGGGGCGCTCGGCTTCGGGGTTCAAAAGCTTGGCGATCTTCGAAGCTCGGAGTTGTGGGACATGACAGTCTTGCATGCTTGAAGTTCATAGTGCCAGCTGTTTACCGTACAAATCACCGGCCAGGAGCAAAGATTAAGCCACAGAAAGGCTAGCGCCCACCCAGAGTGCACAGGATCCGCCACTGCAAAAGCAAACAGAGCTGCGCACATGGGCGCAGAAAACGCTGGCTGTGGGGTGGAGAGCTACGGCCCTCTCAGCGCTCATGCTTGAGCTGGCTCATCATGCCCAGGCTGGTCCCCAGCTGCTGTAGCTAACTGGCCATGGTAAACCAATGGGATCCCATTTTGGGGTAGGTGCACCACCCATTTTAGTCGGGATTTGAGTGGGAATTGGGATGTTCACTGGGGGAACGGGGTTTTGACCCATGGCCAACTGAGCATTCAGTTGCAGTTTGATGGCTAGGAACTCGTGGGCATGCAACTTTCGATTCACCAAAAGGGTGTGCGACTAGAAGTTAGCTAACACCTGGAAAGCGGAGGGAGCGAAGGGCCGCCTTTTTTTCCGCTTGACCATGGAGAGGTGCGGCCCTTGCAGACAGTTTTTTTCCTTTGGGGGCCCTTGATTCTCGGGTACCTTGATTCTCGGGTACCTTGACGGGTTTTTGACTGTGACACCGGCCAGGCCCAATGAAGGCAGGCAGGGCTGGCCCTGCGCCCATTCGTCTCCGCCCGCTTCGCGAGCGGCGCGTTCTGAGGTTCGGATGGCTGCGAGGCTTCCGCACCAGCTATGACAAGGCGAGGCTTCAGACTCGAAGGGCCAACTTGGACTCGGGACTGTGGTCAAAAAGCAATTCGCTGAACCTCTTGGCCCGCCTTTAAGGGTCAAATACGGCTGAAGTTCACAAGAACCATCCAAGCAGGCTTTTTGTCGAATTTTCGTTGGGGCTTTTGGGGCGGCGCAATCAGCAGAACCGGCGTGTGGCCGACAGGTGCCTTCAATGGTGGAAACCTCTGTCCAGACTGAGAGGACCCGGAGCACAGTGCCGATTCCAAGGTCGGGTTTGCCTTTTTGGTTTTCCTTATGTCGACAACAGGCCGCCCATACTGTGAATGGATGAAACCCTTCACCACCTAAGACACCCCGGAATGACGATTCACCTGTAAATACCAACAAACAATGGTTTCAACCATGGTTTTCAGGTGGTGCGAAATGGATTTTGTCCATCCACAGGTCCTTTTGGTTTCCCCCAGCCCAAGTTGAATAAGACCAGGCAACAACAGCTTTCTGGCGAGCCCCATGGGCTGCCAGGCCGAGAACGATTCGACTGCCCGGACCAGAGGATGCCCAGGCGGGCGGCAAACATGTGGGCGGCTCGTCTTTTTTTTGTTTTCCTTTTTTTTTTTCGGGTGGACACGCCAATATGGTGGTCTTCCCTTTGGCTTCCCTTGAAGACCACAACAAAGGGGGGGCGTTTCCTCAACAAAATATATAAAGCCACCCGCCTGGACCACGAAAGTTTGGGACTGTCTTGTTTTTTTTAATGTTGCTCCAGTCCCAGTTGCCATACAGGGGAGGTACTGTGGGTGGACAAAATCCTGCACCACTTTGAAAGTGGTTGAAACCATTGTTTGTTGGTATTTACAGGTGAATCATCATGCCAGGGTTTCTGAACGGTGGTGCGAAATGGATTTCGCAACCATCCAGAGTATGTGGAAGTTGCCAGAGCTCTTTGTGCCCAGGAGGAGGGCGAGATCGGCTATAGCTCGCCGGCTGCTGGGCGGCAGATAGCAGACCAGTTGGCGTGGATGCAAAAGAAGTTCCCAGGGAAGCCAGTCACTTCGCAGGGATAGATGTGACATTCAGACCATCCGTTGAGGGCACTGGCGACTCTCCGTTTGGAAAATGCATGGGCAGGTAAGATAGTCAGCAAAGATGCGGCTGCTAAAAGCACAGATGTGTGATGTGATCAGATCGTCACGACTGCTCTTTGCGTCCTTTTTTCTTCTTCCTCTCATTTCACAGCCCAGCCACCCCAAAAAACCCAAGCAAACCTTTTCCCCCGCGCTTGCGCTTGCGCTTTGGCCAGCCGGGTGCGGCTGGTAGGACTTCAGGGCGCAGGTGGCTGCGGCCAAGCTCATGGGCATCTTGTGGGCCAAGGAGTGGACGCGGTGGCCTTTGGCTGGTGGGTTCCTCGTGGGTTTTTTGCATTGGCTGCGATAGGTAAGGGAAAGGAAATCAATTTTGGTTTTGGTTGGGATGTGTTCCTTTCGTCTTTTTTTTTGCTGGTGCGATAGGGAAAGGGAAGGAACCCAGGGGAGGGGTCTCGTGAAATGAAACCACTTTTGAGGGTCCCTCATTTTTCTTGGCTGGTGCGATAGGGAATACCGCCAGTTGGATGGCTTTTGAGTCATTCGGTTTCTCATTCGCTGAGCGCCAGCAGGGTTTTGGCGGAGACTCAAAGATCTTGGCAACATTCTGCAGCTGCCAAGGTGGGAATCAACCCAAACTATGCTGGCAGGGAAACACACATTCTTTCCCTCCATGGTTGCAGTACGTTGGTTGCCTTGCTTGCAGCAATTTGGGGGAACGTGTCGTAAGTTTCTTTTTTGGAGCCCGAACAGATCCAGCAATGGATTGGGGCATCTGAACACAGTCCATGGCACGACATTTGGGGTCTTTCTGGTTGCTGCTTCTTTGACAGGAGCCCTCCCAAGTTCGCCTAGACCAGTCGCTCTACGGGGCAGCCTTCGTACTGTGCCACCACTCAGAGAGAGGTTTGAGCGGACACAAGTTTTGGCTATTCCCCCGTCTTTGTGCAAACAGGGGTGCACCGATGAATTTGCTTCATATCTTCCACCCCAAGAGGTGGCGCTCAGTACCCAAGAGGGTTCTAAGCGGACGCGGTGCGGGGATCTGCAGTCCAATCTGTGCCTCTAAGAAACTGATCAATGAGTTTGGACGCTCTGAGGCCACAGATTGCCCGCTCCGCCGGCTGGCCAAAGATGCTGCGCGTGCCCCATGGCAGTTGCTTCGAGGTTGCCTCAGGAGCTTCACACGCCCCAAGGGCGGGCACAAACGTTTTGCGAGCGAAGGCATGTGGCAAGAGGTACTTGTCATCAAGACATGGGTGGTTTTGCACGACGCTCAGCAAGCCGCCGACAATTCTTTTTGAGTTGTTGATGCAGCGTTGCTTTGGGCTGACAGGTTTCTGAACTATGCGGTGCAGTTTGCCGTTTTGTACATGATCGCGAAGGCCGTGCCAAGCTCTCCGTCAAACCGAATCATAGGGCGCTGTGTGCCCTGCCTCCTGCCGCTCGCGGCAGGAGAACATGGTCTGGGATCTGTTTTCCGGACAGATGTACCTTTGCAGCCGGCCCAGTGTCTTTTCTTTGGCGCGTTTTGCTTGGATGTCAGGACCGAACAACTTTTTGATCCAACCAATGGGTTTTCCATATGAAACCACAGGAAGTTAAACCTTTAGGTGAGCAGAAAGCCACCGAGTTGTTTTGGCGGCGGCGTCTTTGGATCCAGCTCCGCCGCGCCCCAAAGGCGACTTCGGCCGCGACGCGGAGTGTGCGCACCGGGGCTGGGGGTGGGTGCAGCTTGCGGCCCCCCACTCGAAGCAGCCATCAGCATCCGAATGGTGACCCCAGAATCCATCAACCCCTGCTTATTGTTGTGGTGGGTCTGGGTGAAATGGGGAATCATCACTTTAGTGGAACAACCCCATATAAACAAACGGCGGTTGATTAGCATGTGGTCGCCATGAAAGCTTTCGGATCCCCGGCTTCTGCTATTGGACTGTGGCTTGAAGCTCGATCAGCAAACTTTTGCCCGCCAGCCTGCCCCGACGGCCCCAACTGCATCGGACCTGGTGGCACCGTCTTCACGAACACCAGGCACCGTGCTAGGGAGCGAGTGGCGGATTTGCCGTCGGTTCAAGTCAAAGGCAGCCAAAGGTTTCATACGGCATGTGCCTTCTTTCTCGGCTGCAGGTGCTTTGCGCAACCAGATTGTGGCTTCATGTTTCCTGGCAAATGGAACCATGGACTTAAACCTGCTGTCCCTTGATGGTTCAATTTTGAGGCATCCCACATCGTGGCTTCATGTTAACACACCTCGCTTTTTTTGTGAACACGCCCCAGCTCCCGCCTGTCCCGGCCAGATACTACGGCTGGGGCCAATGGAGCACTCGTACCTATGCTCGGGACGCCTTTAAGGCGCGGCTCGCCTTGACGTCGGGACCCCTGTGGACGCGCGCGGGACGCGCACCTCGAAGTCGCTGTTCCCAGTCCAACGTCCGGGCGGTTTTCTTTTTCTTTTGTTCTGCATCCTCCATCCCCTGCACGACTCGGCCAGAACGCCGCAGAGTGGCGATCCCATCGTTTGGTGTTTGTGGTCGGGCCTCTGTTTGGCCACAGAGGGCAGTTTCAATGGGCGCCAGGCCATGTTTCCTGAGTTCTCGCCAGAGATCAGCAAGCAACCTGGCAACAACTTGGCCTCGGACGCCCCATTCGATCTGCGCGTGCAGTTCGCGAACCCCGAGGTATTCTGACCCAGGCGAGTATGGGGTGGAGAGCTCAACCTGTGGCCCGGCAAAATGAGCTGAAAGGGCATTACGGTCTTCCGGTGCTTGTGAGCAAGCTTTGGGGCAGATGCGGTTTCCTGCATCCGTTACAGGCCTTCCCTAAGTTTCCCCCAGGTCGGCGCACTTTTTCGCGAGGCCGGGTGCTATGCTGCGCCTTGTTCATCGTCACCGTGCTCAGCGACCTGTTCCTGGGCCGCAATTACAGCCATCCCATCAGAGCCTCTCTGGGAAAGCGGTGTGCATTCCCTGCTGAGGAATGGAATGACCCCTATGAACCATCCCTTGCGGTTACCTTTACGGAAATCCGCGGGTTCATTCCCTCATTCCCTACTGAGCGCCAGCAAGATTGAGGTTGGGCAGCTTTAACCTGGCTTTCATCATGAACAGCGTGCCGAGCCAGGCGCGGAAGTCGCGTTTTCCGGGCCCGTCCAGCTTGAGTTGGTCGGTTGGTGGGTCCCTACCCATTTGGCTGTGGTCACGTCAAGAATGGGGTTACCCCAAACTGGGTTGCCCTGGTAAATGGAACCAAGGACAAACACCTGCGTCCATACTGTGGATGGACGAAATCCTTCACCACCTAAGAAACCCTAAAATGATGATTCCCCTGTAAATACTAACAAACAATGTTTTCCCATGGTTTCAAAGTGGTGCAGGATTTCGTCTATCCACAGTATCCTGGTTATTTAAGTTTGACCCATACCTATTTGGGCCTGAGGATGACTTGTGGATCGACTGGGACCCGCCGGGCGGGGATTGGGCCAGCAAGGACTGAAAGCGCGCTCATCGGCCTGCGAGGGTTGCCAGTCTTCTTCTTGGGCATGGGTCAAAACTAAACCACCAGTGGACCGCAGGTTTTAGTCCTTTGGTTCCATTTACCAGGGTTCCGCTTTGGGTATGCATTTTTGACCCAGCCATGTCCAGCCAAACTGGTTGCAATGCCGGTTGGACGTTCTAGAGAGAACGGGCCTGGGCGTCATATTTTTTGGCCCCGTCATATGCTGGCATCGACAAAATCAGAGATGGGAATCCACAAGGAGTATGCGAAGAAGGTCACCGGCAGCAATGAGATGGACTTTGTGAAGCTGAAGATCGCAGGCGAGTGCGGTCCGGTGAGCTGACGTGGGATCACGGAAAATTTGTTGACATCCAGGATTTTCCTCTCATTTTTGTGCTTGGCCTCGGAAATGAACCCCCAAGCGCCCGAGGCTCAATTCGCAGCCGCACGTCTCCGGGCGGTTTTTCCGCTTCGGGTCTCGTTCCAAGTGGGGGAACACCCTGCGACAGCATTCAAATCTTGATTCTGAAGGGTCAGACTGCAGCTGTCCGCCCGCAGCATCCCCGGAGCCTCGAAGCCAGGCATGCCTTTCCACTGGAAGGTCCTGAACTGGCTGCTGATTTTGTTCCTGGCGCCGCAAGGGATGTGCAGGTCATGGGACTTGAGCAGAGCTGTTTGAGTGGGGGCTGGCAGAGATGGGGAGTGGGCTTGGCCCCAGCTTTTGGCCAGGTCGTGGGCGAAAGAGGTCCAACAAATTCCCGGCCAACGGGTGTCCAACAAATTGAGGATGTTGGGCGAAAGTGATTGGGTCGCTTTCGCCCCCAAATGTTGGGGGTCGCTTTTGCCCCTCAACCAGCTTGTGCTTTTTGTAGCACTTTTGCATCGGCAACTTTGAGTTATGAGCAGCACAGAAGCCATTGACCACACACTGACCCAAGCTTGCATCGCTGAACCACCCACTTCCATGTTAGAGGGTATCTGCTTCGTATGATTCCACTGTCGGAGACACATGCTTGTTGCAAGCCTGACACCCAGCCATTTTCTTGTACTCCGCAAGAGAGCGTTCTGAGGCCTTTGGCGGCCTTTGGCGGCCTTTGGCCGCCATCTTACACAAACCCCCGTTCCCCCCACACAGCCCGCAGCCCTTCAAACCCCCGATGAAAGACTCGATGTGCCGGCGTCAGCTTTTCTCTGTGCTTGAGTGCTAGCTGGTAGGGGGCGAGGCGTGATCCGATGGCCGTGTGTCTGCAGACGATTTTCTTGACACTTGTGACATGGATGAGTTTGAGTTCTGGAACCGCATGTTGACGTTAATTGATCCAACTTTTGGGGGCAGCGGTTTTTTCTGCCGTCAACATGGTCATAGACCTTTGGCTCGTTGAATGTCGCCAACCTACACGACTTGTAGGGGATCCTATTGAGAGAACAAGACGATCCGCCTCCCGGGAGAACAAGACAACAAGCGCACAGGTTGAATCCTGGCGCTTGTCAAGACGGGACTACCAAAGTGGAAGACTTCCTTGCGGTGCTCAGGGAATGGGACATGGAATGAGCCCTATAAACCATCCCCTGTTTCCCTTAAGGGGACTGGGTTCATTCCAATTCTCATTCCCCACTGGCAAGCTTGGTTTCCCTTCTAACAAATCCCAGTGTGCTTCGTTTTCCCAAGCCAAAGTCTCTGGCGCACTGTGCTCAGGTTGCCAAAGCTCTGCCTGTGGAAAGTCACCACCGAAGCCGGGATCTGCTTCCTGATGGAAACACAAGGCCGGGGTTTGCATCACCTCAGAATCACATGGGTATGGGTCAACATTGACCCACAGCCACATGGGGGAAGAAGTCTTGCTATCCATGCGAAATCGGCATGGAACGAGAAATGGAATGAACCCAGTCTCCTTAAGGGAAACCACAGGGGATGGTTTATAGGGCTCATTCCGTTTCCCATTCCCTGCATCTCTCGCACCCATCGCAAGTCACGTTTTTTGGTCTCCGCGTATTTCGGCGCCCCAAAAATGAAGCCGCTCGCTCGCTCGCTTGCGTGGTTTCAACTGAGGCATCGAGGACGTGGTGGTGAACTCGGTGGCCCTGTCCTTCATCTTGCAGATTGACGAGCTTCTCTGCCAAGAGCCCCCTGGCTTCGAACAATTTTTCGACACTCGGGGAGCTCGGCCAGTCGGGTCGGCTTTTCTCGGGGCGAGAGGCGGCCCCAGAAGTCTTCGCCTGGGAGATGGGCTTGGACGTCAACACTGCCTTTTTCCCCAGATAGCTGAAAGCTATAAGTTATAAGGGTTCCAACTTCTAATAAAGAAGGCAAAGTTATTTGCGAGATTGACAGCTGGGTGCTAGGGGGCGTGCAGCTTGGGGTGCTTGTGTAGGTGCTGTTTGGGGTGCTGTTTGGGGTGCTGTTTGGGGTGCTGTTTGGGGTGCTGTTTGAGCTGCTGGTGATGATGCGGGCACGTTTTTGCGAGATTGACGTCTGAGTGCCAGGGGGCATGCAGGTGATGGTGCGGGCGTACTTTTGCAAGATTGACGGTAGGGTGCCAGGGGACAATCTGGGGTGCTGGCACAGGTGCTGTTGTGGGATGCTGTTTGGGGTGCTGTTTGAGGTGCTGGTGATGGTGCGGGCGCATTTTTGCAAGATTTACGGTCGGGTGCTCTGGGAGTGCTGTTTGGGAATGCTGTTCGGGGTGATGGTGCGGGCGCGCCTTTGCGGTTGATATCAGGAGGGTCTTTGCTGTTTGGGGTGTTGGTTGAGGTGCTCTTGGTGCAGTGCTGTTAGAGGTGCCGCCGTGCAATCGTTGGCACGTGTTTGGCTATCTTGGCTCTATGCTGGTGTGTTTTTTTGTGCGAACCATGCGGGTCTTTTCGTCACGCACTCTCTCAATCGCTCGGCCGAAGTTGCATTGCTTGCAAGGATGATGAACGAGAAGGTGCAACTTGCCTGAACATTCATCGATGTGCAGTTGGTACCTTGCATCGCTGACAAGATGGGATGCAAGAGAAGTAGACAATGTTCCATTCTTGGATATCCCAAGGTAGCTATAAGAGCAGCGGTTGATTTGCCCCAAGAGCAAAACAACTGGGTGTGTCAGTCTACGGGGTGCGGTTTTGTGGCTTTTGCATCCGAGGCATCAAATCCTAGCAAAGCTGGAGGTGCACCTCCTGGATGAGGGCGACAACATCCACGATCTGGACCGCGCCTGTGGTCCGGGCAATCGGAGTCGTCTTTGGCCGGGCAGAAGTTCCATCAACAACTCAACCACCGGCAAGAAGGAATCAACAGAAAACCGAGACGGGCATATGCCCTTCTTTAGGCAGTGGGTGATATCAACCGTCCGTGACTTCAGCCTCAGGAGCGAATGACGGATCAGGGCTTGTACGAGAAGGAGCTGGCCATAAAGGGCTCACTTTTGAGTGCTGGTGGTTTCGGACTGTCAGGGTAGGACTGAACAGGAGAGATGGTCTCGTTTTTGGTTGCCGCAAGGGGGGGGGGGTAGAGCCAACGACTTGCTGCATATCACCTGCAACTGGCCCTTTCCTGTGTAAAAATGACTGGGATCCCATTCACAGGGGGCATGGTATGCCCAATTTGGCCGTCACGCCAGAACCAGCAAGAGATCGTCGGACGGTGGAACCCGCGAGACCTCTGGTCGCTGGTGCCCATGAAATTGCTCACAGTGGGAGCAATCACGCGCTCGCCTCAACAAAAGGGCAGCACGGATTTTCTGGTCTCAGATTGATTGATTGTTTGTTTGTTTGCTTGCCTTGCTTGCTTGCTTGTGTCACAGACGCACAGACACGCAGACACAGACACACACACACACACAGAAACACAGACATACAGACACAGACATACAGACACAGACACACAGACACAGACTCACAGACACGCAGACACAGACACACACACACACACACACACAGAAACACAGACATACAGACACAGACACACAGACACAGATACGCAGACACACGGACACAAAGACACAAAGACACGAGAACCCCTATGTTTCTTTGGTCACATCCGCTGCCAGTCGTGCAAGGATTTCCATGGGATGTAAGTCCAAGTCCACTGAGGTGGGGCTTTGTCTACCGGTACTATGCCACCAACTGCGTCCACAATGAGGCTCTCCACTGTGAGCCTTCGTCGGGAGTTCTCCAGGTGAAGCCCTTGTTTGAGCCAACTATTTGGGTTGTCTCAAAGCAGGGGGACATTCTCAAGATGGTTTTCGTTTCCTTTCCTTGCCTGTTCTCAGCAGGTTTTCAGGGAATGCCCCAATTCATCCCCTATGGTTTGCTTCAAGGCAGTTCATTCCCACTGGGGAACTCGGAAGGTCATTCCCTACCTGTCGCACCGACCTTTTGTATTTTTAGGTTTCCCTAGATTTCCTCTTCGTACCACAGTTTTGCTTGCCTCCAGTATCATCACAAGTCTAAAGGGTTTTCTCCCTTCGACCCCCAAACCCAAACCCCGACATCCAAGATCTTCACCGGATCTCGGATCCTCTTTGTTCTTGGCTTCCTCGTCTCTTTTGCTTTTGGTCTTCTTTTAGTACCTGACATCCTCTTTTACCTTTGACCCCCCAAACCCAAACCAAAACCCCGACCTCCGAGTCTCTGCCGGATCTCCGCATCGGATCTTTCTTCCGACTTTCTCGCGCCAGCCGCCGCGCTTGAGCGATCGAGCGATCGAGCTATCCAGGCGGATGGCTTGGTCTCCAAGCCCCTGGGGCTGCCGGTCTCCACCAACCTGCCCGTCTCCAGCGCCTTCCTGCAGCGCCTCGGATGGATTTTTGATCTGATCGATCGGTTAGGGAAGAAACACGGACCGGAGCCCGAAGGAGAAAGAGATGAAGGCTTCCCAACTTTCCGACCCATGTCTTGCTTTTTTGGAGGGAAGGATCTAAATATCCCGAAAAAAACAAAAAAAGCGAAGTGCATTCCCGGAAGCCTGGATTTTTGGGTCATTCCCAAGACCTCTCGCACCTCTCGCAGGCAAGGGTTGCAAGACGCAGCGTTGCTTCGGGGCACTTTTCGCAGCTGGCCCCGGGGCCTGGGAGGCTGATCTGGCAACCCGTTGTGGTTCACAGCTTCGCTTTTTCTTCCCAGGTCTTCTTCCAACGGGCTGATAAGAATGAGCTTCTGTTAGCAGCTTCCCAGCTGATCCGATGCTTAGCCTGGCAATCTTGCTTTCCAGTCATTTGTGTTGTGGTCGGAGTAGGCCAGGGCCAGGGAAGTTCTGGTTTCTCTGGTCGGATCAGCTGGGAAGCTGCTAACAGAAGCTCATTCTTATCAGCCCGTTGGAATTAAGTCCAGACTCCGATTTTGGATAGGCCCTCAACATGCAAATGCACCTTTTGACGTGTCTCACGCATCCAGTTGCATGCCCGCATCCCAGTAGCTAGATAGATCATGTTTGACTAGGCGAGCTCTGTGGATCTTGCTTTCCGATTTCAAAGTTTGCGCTGCTTCCACCACACGCTTTCCAGCTGCTTAAAGATACCAGATGGGCAGACACCGAAGTTAAGATTTGTAACTACTATGCCCTGTGAGGATCGTCTGCCTTCGTGTTGGACCGAGCCTCACACCGTGAAAGATCAGCAAATGTCCCGCTGGTGCAGCATTCCAACTGCAAATCGCCCTTCAGCTTGGGTCTGCACAAGCACTGTCAGTCACTGTGACCTACCCCTCACGCAGCGGCTGTGAGGGTTCATGTTGGTTGGTTGCGACCGACGCCGATGCGCCCAGGAGCTTTTTCCCGCCTCCCCGCGAGGACTGCCTTCTTTCACAGGGCTCCAAATGAAGCATTGAACGGCTCAGTAGGCACAAGGTCCAGAGGACTTCCGCGAATGGAGACATAGGGGTCACATGGGGATGACCATTGGGAAAGAACTGATATTTCCTCTCAATGGAACAAGCGTACGGTCATTTGGGGGGGGAAGGGAATATTGATCAACCCCCACATGTGCACAACTTTGGCTGAAGCCAGTTTGGCACCCGCTCCTTCCGCTCGGGCCAGGAGAAGTTCTTTTGGAGCATGCCACCAATCCCCGACCACGTGCAGCGATGACGCGAAGCTTCGCATTTTGTGGCGACCAAAAGCTGTGAGATTTGTTTGCAAGAGAGAGCGTTGACAGGTTTTGGTCGTCACTGGAGAGAGAGAGATTGCAATTTGGTCCTGAAATTGCCCGGTTCAAAGTACCCGCGGCGAATTTGCAGTCGGGCCGCTCTGCCAGTTTTTGTGTAGCTATTTCAAGCTGAAAGCAGGAGATCCAATGGGTGTGGCAGGCGAAATTCGGCGATAGCACGTCCCTACGCCTGAGGAAACCGACGGCGCAGGTGATAACGACTGGGCCAGGCGAGGGCCTGGTACAAACCAGGCCAAGGTCGACGCCCGGAGGTACTTCAAGCGGAAGTGAAGTTGGAACGGCATTGCTGGTCATTTGAGCCACAATTGTAGGCCGTGTTGGTTGAAGCCTTTGGGCAATACCTCGCCTCCCGCCCCCGGCTAGTTTTTTCACATGGGAGCGACGGCCTCAGGCCAGCATCTCATGCGAGAGTGAGGAGAGCCGAGACGGGATACGTCCGCGGTAGGAAAAGAATGGGAACTCCTGTGATTCCATGCGCCAAGGCCGCCGGAGACGCAAAGACTTTGAGCTTTTTTTTTTTTCAGGTCCCAGTCTTCGGCTCAAGTGAGGCCAGCCTCTCGCAGCCATGGATGACCAGATGGCATATGCCATGGCGGAGCTGGGGGATTTCGCCGCCTATGCCGACTGCTGCAACGTGGTGCCCGTGAAAGTCTTCTCCATGGCGGAGGCGGCCCCTCGGGGAATGGGCAGCATCTCCCTCCACCGCTCGCTAGTTTGGCAGAACATGCATATCTGCATCATATATCCATTCCCCTCCCCCCCTCCCCCTCCCCCCCTCCCGGACTCCCCCGTGCACGCTCGTCTTTAGCCGCCTTTTGCATCCAGGTGGCAAAACACAACAGTCCGGAAGATTGCTGGGTGGTGCTGCACGGCCACGTCTACGACCTCACCAAGTTCGCCAAGGGCCACGTGGGCGGGGCAAATCTCATCACCGACCTGGCGGGCAAGGATGGCACCAGCGTCTTCGAGGCATCCCATGGTGAGAATGTGCCTCCCGCAAAAAGCCGGTCCTTTCGCTTATTTTGGAACCAGGTCCTGTTTCTCCCGCTTGGGAACCTGCAGAGCTTGCAGTTTTTTTCAAGTGGTCCTATCCGAAGGACTTGTTGTGTGCTTGTGTTGGGTCGCCGGATCAAACAAAACACCTGATGCTGAAATGCTACTGGTCTTGAAACCATTTTGACTGTCAAACGGAGTAGTATCCCAATCGAGCATCTAGATTCGGATAGCTGATGCATATTGAGGGCAGCTCGAAATGTCGCCTTGGGTGGCTTGATAGACCTCTTGCCTTTGCGGGGGGGGGGGGGGGGCACGGGTACGGAGCACTACTTTCTGTTCGGCAGAGCCAGTTCATGCGAGTTGCGAGCTGAGGTGCTGAACAGCGTCCGCGTGGACTGCTGCATTGGCGACATCGACCCAGCCAGTGTTCTGGAGGAGCACAGGGCCGTAGCCAAGCTGCGCGAGCGCGCCTAGCGAGCCGCACAGCTTTTCTTGGTTTTTCAGCCGAAGGGGGGCCAGTTCAGGCGGAAATGGAGAGCTGTGCTCCCCAAACAGAGAACCTTCTTTTTGACGAGAAACAAACCACCACAAGGACCACACCGCAAAGGGGGGGGGGATACTTGTCTGACTCATGACCTTCGGAGGGGGGGGGGTTGGCAGACTGTTGTTGCTTCCCATGCAGCCACATTGGGAATTCGAGGCAGCCAGCTCCAAAGAGAGGGCCGGTAGATTTTCCGCCTCGATTGGGCCACTCGTTGAATCCCGGGCCGAAATGCTGGGATCCTCAAAGACCCCAAAGCGCAAAAAAGCTGCGGCGCGTCCGGCCATTCATCTTTTCTTGGGCCGACGAGCTCGTGCTGCTCGCCAACTTTGGTTGGCTGATCGGCTTTCTTCAACGCTTGCCTGCAGCATGAGCCGTAAAGTCACTTTGAGGGGAAACGGTCCAAGCTTGAGCTTGTCGCAGGAGCCCCAGGTTGATCCACCAGAGTATAATTACGGGTCGCGAAACAGCCACACTGACGAGCACCGACTCACCCGTCGACAGCACTGAATGCCAGTCAGAGCTGCCACCCGAGTCAAGAAGCGGCCAGTGCCATCGCCGGGTGGGCTTGGCAGTGGCCATGTGCTGCCATGGCCAGGCAATCGAGCCCGAGTTCCGCTTGGGTGGCTCATTTGTTTTTTTTGGGGCTGTTCCGTAATTTGTGGTTTTTAAGGGAAGCCACCACCCTGTTTGGGGCACTCCCTGTTTTGAGACACACCCATTTCAAGCTGTTTGCAGCACTAAGAATCTCAAGCTCAATGGGGCCAGGGTAGCACATCGCTGCCAGGTCTGAGAGCCCGCCAGAGAAGAAGTCGAAGAAGAGGAGGACCGGACGTGCCAGCTGCCGCTGAGGAAACATGCCGATCGCAAGTGACCGGCAAGCATTGAACGGAACTCATTGCTCTGCCAGCTTTGGGCCGCGCGAGGAGCGAAAGCGGCCCTCGCGACAAGAAGTCCAAGAGGAAGAAGAGGACCTTCACAAATTGAGTACTTGTGTTCGCTGGTCCACCGGAAAATAACCTTAGGTGTCTTTTTTTTGGTTAGTTCCACTGGTTTAGATGGGTTTCATTTTCATTTACCAGGGGAACCCATCTATTTGTCCAAAAGGTCACCTGTGGAAATACCTGGTGTTTCATGGCCAGTGGGCCAGTGTTCTCTCTTCACAGGAGCTCCAGCGCACACGAGCCGGAGGCCATCAGGTTTCGCCCATTCCGATGCCATTTGGCCACCGAGAAAGAAGGTGGATACTTGGGGGTTGATCCATTAGCTGTCCGCAAAAGATCTAAAAAGTAGCGGGGGTTAGCGGGGGGGGGGGGAGGGGTTGGGTGGGGCAGCTTCTTGGCTTCTTGGCTTTTCGGCTTCTTGCTCTTTGGCTTTGGCTTTTCGCATCCTCGACATTCCCAGTTCCTCTCCGGCAGGTGGCGCTTTGGCTTTTGCGGCTCTGCTTTCCCAGTTCCTCTCCGGACTGCTGTTTGGCTTTGCACCCAATCATTGGTTTTTGGTTCTGTCACTAGTTCCTCTCCGGCAAGTGTTCTTTATGTTTATGTTTATGTCTGTCCACATGTATGTATGTAATCTTGCATGTATGTATGTATGTTTGTCTGTATGCATGCACTTCTTCGAGCATCATAGGGGAAGCCACCCCCCAACCCCTCCGCTGCTTTTTATATTTTACCACACCCTTTCGTGAATCTGTGCACCCCTAATTGAATCATCACTTTTTGTGATTAGCCATGGTTCATATCATCATCAGGAACGTCGCGTTAGTGACCGACCTGTGGTGTTTTGGCTCAAGTTTTGGGTTCCGTCGCGCCTCGAATGGGCGTCGCCGAACCCCTGCGTCGACCGACGGCATCTCGGGGGAGAAAGAGACCTCGGGCCGCCGCCAGGTTGGTAGGGACCAGTCGTGCGGCCTGTTGTCGACCAAGGTTGCGGGTTAACCCTTTTCTTGTTTGGTTTGTTTCCTTTTGGTTGTTGTTCTCTGGTGTGTGGGAAACCCTGATCTTTGGGACCGGGGATTGGTTTGCTTTTGGGGAACCTTTCTTTTGTGGCTTGTTTACCCCAACTTACCCATTGCCTGGGCACAGGCTCGTGCCCGAATCACAGGTTATCAGCCGTAGGACTTTCCTACGCGCTTGAGACCATCAACTACAAGCTCTATGTCGACCCCACGATCTCGAAGGAGCGTCGTGGATGAGGAGGCCATCCTAGGTGGCCTCCGCTCAGGTGAGGACCTACCGGACTATGACTACGAGGATTTCGAAGCAGGTTCGACAGGTCAGGATCGCAGGGGTGAAGATCCCGGTAGGGACACACCCAGGAGCCGTGGCAGGTACACCGACGATGGAGACGACCGCATTTTCCGTCAGGCCACCGATGATGAGCAGACACGAAGGGTTCGCTCCGATAGGAGCGGCTCTGAATCAGGTCACAGGCGCGGACAGTTCGACTTCATCAGCATGGCGATGAACATGGCCCGCCCCCATTCGGACGACCCGGAGGCCATGCCGACCCGACCCCCGAGATCTCTTGTTCCAGGTGAATCGCAGGTCTCGGATGAGTTTGAGGACAGGCCGCAGGGACCAGGGACTATGGTTTTGGCTCCGAGAGGTATCTCGGGTCGATCCACCGGTTCTCAAAATCCAGGTCAGTTTGATGAGCACGAGGAGCGGAAATTCGCAGACTTCGGATATGATGCTCTGTTGAAATCAACCGCAGGTTGGGGCAGTAGCTCAAAACAGGGATCTGATGCCGATAGGCCCAACCCTAATACTGCCAAATCTGAGTCTTATGATGGCGAAGATTACAATTTTGCGGATGAGGAGGAGGACCAATCACGCCGAAGTGCTAGGATCCGTGATGCTGCGAGGCCCAGGAGCCTCTCTCGTGGAGCCGCCAGGGACCTTCGTGTTGACAGGGACGTCCGAAGCGAGAGAGAGAGGGCCAGGGATAGTCGGGAAGTTCTTCGGGGATTGGAGGCCATCCATGACCGTGAGGGACCGATAGGTCCTCCGGCGATTGGTGATACCCCGAATGTTCCCCCTTTTCCTAACATCACTTTTGGAGGTCCGTTGAATCAGAGAGACGTGAACTCGAACCGGGTTACTGGTTCGCCGAGGATCACTGAGCGGGCTGCCGATGTCGTTAGGACAGGTGCCAGGGATGGTCGGCTTGCCGATGCGCTCGGAATCGAAGATCGTCCGTCGATCGCTAGCCCGTTAGGGCGAGATACCAGTGACCTTGAAACGCTGAGGTCTAGCAACGAGTTCACACCTCAATGGGGCTCGACCGCCAGGGAACGTAGTGTTTCTGCGAAAAGGCCGTCACCTCTCGCCATTGAGACCGATAGGTCGAAGGCAAGGAGGGCTAGCCCCTCACCTATGGGTTTGGCTCTGCAGGATGAGGAGATGCCCGACCCTGCTGATGTTCACATTCATTCTACTCCTCAGTCTCGTGCATCCAACGTTAATCCCCGATCTGGCGATAGCCGGAGAAGGGGGTCTACCCCGAGTAGACCACCCAGGATTGATGATTGCCCTGTAGGCGACCCTAGAAGACATGCCGGGGCTAGTGGGGCTCCTGAGAGGATCGAGATATCGACTCCTCCCGCCCTCAGATCCCAGTCTTCCGGCGAATCAGGTGACGTCAGGGCAAAGGAGATGTTTGAGTTGCACATCCAGGAGATGCTCGAGAGGGGTGAGGTTTCTGGCTCAGTCGCGAAGGCGTTCCATATTTTTGCGGACCAAATCAGGTTACTGAACGGTCAGGTGAGTTCCTTGCGAAGGGAATGGAGCGACGAGAGCCGACAGACGAAGGACAAGGTCGATCGCCTGGCAGCTGAGGTTGCAACTCAATCTGATGCCGGGAGGATGCGAATGATAGTTCAACGGTTTGCGAGGGAAGTTATTCCCGACAGCAAAGCCATTGTTAGGCAAGCCATCGATGAACAGGCTGAAGTCGTGGAGCAGAGGATCAACCTACTGTCCCACGAGGTTCACGAATCTGTCAAGGACAATGAGGCCTCGACTGATCGGCTTCGTCAGGTGATTCAGGAGAATCGTGAGGCTGTCCACAGGAGCCATGCTGCTTCCGAGGATGAGATCCTTAAGGAGCTCGAGAAACGGATGTTCTCGGTAGAGAAAACCGTCGGGATGAGGACGCCAGCAGGTGAATGGAGTTTGAATCCTATCGCGCAACCGTCCGATAGGGCCAGTAGCAGTGTGGTGAACGCGAATTTCAGGGAGTTAAACCTGAAGCTCGAGAAGGCTCTCCTCGAACACGAGAAGTTTGCTAAGTGGGCCTCCGAATCTATTGGTGGCATCAATGAAGAGCAAACCCTTCTTGCTAATCGGATGTCGAGGCTGCAAAGTGGAAGGGGTTCACAGGCGATCGATAGATCATCAGGGCCCGTATCCCCGCAGGACTGGCATGAAGCAATTGACGAAGTCAATCGAAAGATCCAGGATCTATCTCGTGGAGTTCAACGCCACCATGGGGACCATGACGACGTCCTTGCAAGGTTTGAGACCTTGAAATCCCGTGTTGAGCAGTACGAGGCGAGTTCGGGAATTCTGAATCAAGTTCTTGATGACATCAGAAGACAGATCCGCAGTCTCCCTGCGAATAGTGATCAAGCGCGGTCTGCCGTTAGGCGTGAAATTGACTCATTCCGGAGTACGCTTGAGGGCGCTATGCGGAGGATCAGCACTGTTGAGAGTAACATGCGTACTCTTAATGGAATGAACAACAGAATCATGGCTCAGCTCTATGAAATCGAAGGTCATGTTGATGAAGCTGCTGTCATTATTCAGGGTGCCCAGGACAATCAGGCAAATCCCCCACAGCCTAGAGAGAGACGGAACGTCGGATACGACGCTTTCGCGGGGCAAGGACACAGAATCAGGTCTCCGACGCCCACTCCTGGAGAAGGTAATGGTCGGGGTACTGGCCTTCCGGTGAGACCAGGCGGAGGTGTCGAATTGGTTGATCACGCTTTGCCAGATGAGCCCGGTAGGGTCGATCCTTCTCGTGCAGATAGGCATCCCATTAATCCCGATAGGGAGAGGGCTGATAGCAGGAGCAGGAGGGCTCGGGGGTTGCCTGACAGGTCGCATTCACCGCCAGGGCGTGCAAGGGATGGCCCCCGCGCGTGCAAGGGGGGACATTTCTGTTTCTCCCAATAGGGATGTGGGTAGGAATAGGAGCCCGAGGCCTGCTGTCGTCCCCGATAGGGGATCTGAGGTCCGGAGTCGGCAATCAAGGGGGGAGAGGCCGATCCGCGATAGCGGGAGCATCTCTCCGAGTTTGGACAGGCCGGTCCGCGATAGCGGGAACGTCTCTCCGAATCCAGGCCGTTATCCAGGAGGTGGTAGGGGTAATAGGGCCCATGCCGAAATCCAGAGGACTGGAGGACTCCTGGGAGTAGAGCTAGTGCCGACATCCAGAGTCCCGGCGATAGGTGGGGGACCCCTGGAGCTCCGTCTGATCGTGGACAGGCCTCTGCGCCGGCCGCAAGAGGAGCTCCCGGTACCGGTGGTCCAGGTGCGCCAAAGATTTGTGCCCTCGACAATCCCAACGACCGTAGGCACCCGGACGCTGAGTTCTTGTGTGCTACGTGCAATCGTGAGTTTTGTGGGCTTTGCCGGGGTGACGACGGGGACTGTTGCAATTGTCAGTTCTTGAAAATGAAGTGTTGGGCATGTCGCAAGAATGCCCAGGAGGTCTCAATATATTTCTGCACGGATTGTGGGAACCACGTTTGTGAGGATCACAGTTATTTTGGAAACGACGGCCTCGAGCGATGTGCGCGCTGCAATATTCGGCATGAACGTGATATCGCTGGACCGCCTCCTCCTCCCCCTTCTGGGGGAGGAGGTGGGCAAGGCGGACCACCCAGTCAAGGTGGGAGCGGAAGCGGTGGTCACGGACATGCTCCATTTCCACCACCAGGTCCTGGACACCTGGCGGAGGCCAAGGTCCCGCTGGACCTTCTGGAGGCCCGAGTGGAGGGGCTCCTACCGGGGGTTACCCTGGTGGAGCACCTGGGTTCTATGGTAGTGCTGCTGATACTCAGGGAACTGGGAACAATCAGTGTGGTTCCAGCTTCTATGGTCCTGCCTACGGAGGAGGCGTTAGCCACCACGGGGTTGGCACTGGCGTTAGTCAGCCCAACGATGCTGTAGGTTACCCCT